TTTCGGGGACTCTGTCCTACGATTGCATTAGGTGGCTATCCCCTCGTATTTTGATATGAAATACCAAATATTTCGTAACTTATTCATGTTTTAATAACTGTATATTCTCAACATGATTCAATATCATTTTCGTTATTTTCTTTTTACAATCCTTAAAAAACAACCTTTCAGAACTCTTTCACTACCTTTTTTACGTTATGATAATTTACGGTTATAATTTGACAATATATAGTTAATGTTTTGTGCAATATTAAATATAATAAAATATTTGAAAAAATGTATGGAGAAAGAAAAAGAGAGAGCATAAGTTAAAAAATTTGTCATATTTATTTCGGTCGGTGCGATTTAAAATTATAGACTGAAATAAACATGTACTTTTTGATACGAAAAGGTCGTATGTAAATATAAATACATGTGAAATATTTCTCTCCATGGTATATTTTATAGCAGACATTGATCGAACTCATGCTATTTTTATATGATTTTTTTATTTGATGTCGACATAAAAATACACAAAATCAATGGTTGTATAATACTGAAATTTAAAATTACTTTGAAATTATTGATAAATACATTATATTTGTATTGTACTTTACTCTTTTCAATTTTGTGCTATTCGATATTTTCCAATGTTTAATTATCCGCAAGATTATTTAAAAAAAAATTATAAAGTTTGAATGTTGAAATTATAAAGTTTAATTACGAACAAAAAATAGGTAGTGAATAAGTTCGGTGACAAAGTGAGTAAGGATTTTGCGATATTATTCAAATGTGTGGCCGAGCATTAATACAAAATAGTACCTGAAGTGAAAGAGCTATGAGAACCGAGACCGTTATCAATTACGCATTCCTGCGTTGCAAAGCTACGTTTGAGAGAGCCATACATGGATTCTTCGAGACCCGTCATAATTTCACCATGATTATACGGGAAGCAAATGGTTTCGTGGTTTCACCATCTCGTACGAATTATAGGATATAATCGTCAATTATTGATGCTCGTCCACGATGTCGTTGCTTTGGAATTGTTGATTTCTACGAATTATATTTCCTACAATGTGTGTGTATGAGCCCTAATCAAATTCTATTAGCAGCTAGTCACGACTATCATCTGCTATCGGGACTGTAATATTGATAACAGCATTCAATTACACTGAAAATGAAGTAGTTGATGAAGGTGTGAATCAACGTTTATGAATGTAAATGTGATATGATAAGTGTTATAATAAGTTTTCTTTATTAAAACGTTATTAAAAATTACTTAAATATTTTAATGTATTAATTCCTATACTTTTAAGTAAATAATACACAAATATATCTTATACGAGATACTATTAATAATTGTATTAATATTTCACATTTTTATAAAAAATGTTTCAACTTCTACATTTTTTAAAATTTAAATAATAGCAAAAAAAACATATTAAAAAACGCGGCTATTCAATAATTTATAAGTATAATACATGTATATAATAATATATATAATAATTATATATAATATATATAATGTAATTTACAATTACTATCTTAATTCTTTTATTGTTGTATTAAACATTAGACATATCATTATATATACGAGTAAATATTATAATTGCATGTGTATAAAAAATAAATTCCAATGTAAGTATTAATCACTTAACATCGACACGGTCACGACGATCTGATTCTGAAATGAAGTGAAATTCAGCTACAACATGCTAATTAAAATTCCTGGTAGCGAATTGCTATTCGCGAAAGCTATGGCGTACCTTGTCGAACGTTTCGTCTCGCTCCGATTACACAAATAGGATTACAAGTAACCTGTTTCCTTTGTGAACGGAAAATTTCAATAAATAACGAGACAATAACTCATTACAGTTGAAAAAATTAAAAAATTTAAAAAGATAATTTCTAATACGCGAGATAATTAATTAATTAACCTATTAATTAATTGAAATAACTAATTGTATATTATATGTTGTATAGTATAAAATTAATTACAATTTTATCGCAATATATGTATATGTGAAAGCTCAACAATTCCAAAACGGACAAATAATGAGATATAGAAAGTATCTTTATAACAATAAATGTTTGAAAAACTCTTCTTTCCGAAAGAATGCATACTTTCATTCGTTGAACTAATAACTGTTAAATTCTTTCAAATATGCCTACTGTACTAGAAACAGTATAGTAAATGTATTAAGTCTTTAATACATTTATTATTAATATATTATTCTATTCTTCTATTAAGTCTTTAAAAGTTTAGAATTTTTGATTATGAAAATAATTCTCGGACATAAGTTTAGATAAACTTTTTTTCAGCTAATAAACTTCATATATTGTATAAGTTTAGTACCGATTTTTATCGAATCTTGTATTGTATGTGAATACAAGATTTACATTACAGTTATATTTATTATTAAGATAGAATGAAATAAAAGAATCGTTAAAGGTTGTACAATATCTATTTTCTTCTCTGCCCTTTCAAATTTATTATTCGATAAATTTAACGATACTAAACCTGGTTTTAGCAATGTAAATTTACTGGCATTGTGATCTCAACGCATTATGTCGTCATTCGCGTGGTGTATGCGTATACACTGAAAGCTCGAAAGTAATCAGTATAAGGCAATATTGCAATTTCCGTGGTGCAGCTCATAGTATTATCACGGTAATAAGGATATACGCGAGTTTCGTGCTTTTTCCAGTATTGCGACGTGCAGTAAAAAAGCCGTACTCTCCGGCTGGTTGAAGTCATATTTCCTCTCATCTTCTTTCATCTTATGCGTACTTGCGAAAGTTATTTTGATTAAAAATAAGAAATACGATTTCTAATACGCGGGTTAATTAATGCGATAATTAATAACCATTTTAACTGCAATATACGGAACACGTGTATACGTATGAAAGTATTTGCGATTTTCATCCAATAATCCGCATTCCGTTAAGCGTGTGTAGTTAACGGTAATGAGATAATATCATTAGTAGGACAGACCTTTATATCAAGCACGCGACAGACGCGCTATGCAAGTTGTATTTATCTCGTAATACAACTCGTTATAGCACTCTATTGTAATTATCCTCTTGTATCTGGAAGTAGGAACACTTACTCGCGGCGAGAGAAACCAAAGACGCGCAGACACCGGAAATTGGACGTTTATTATTAACCGCTGATGAAATCTCCGCATAAAGCGTATAAAGAGAAAAATTGTGAAGATATTAAACACTGTTGGTTGCAAGAAGGAAATTAATTGCTACACTTTCAAGATAAATTTCAAGATAAATTTTAGCATGCCCAAGAATTATTTTTCTCCCAACAATGTAAATTGAACGCTCCGGGAATAAAAAATAACTCTTATTATATAGATTAAAAACAAGGAGAATAAAACAGGATGAAGCGAGTTTAGTGTTAACTAATTAGTACAGTCTGATCTAATTGTACAACAATTCCACAACGTTCTGATCTGTCATCTTCAATGCGATAATAGAGTCACGGTAACTCACAAAATAAAAATAAAAATACAATAATTAAAAATATAATAAAAAAAATAAAAATGCATATATAAAATATGTAAAATAAAACTGATTGAACGTATAATGGTTAACAGTTACAATTTATCACGAAATTTATCGAAATGTAAAACTACAAAAACAAATTTTGATGAATCTCGGAAATTGCTTGCGCCACTAGCCATCGAAATTGTGTCAAATTAATAATAGTCCGATACTGAAAATCGGACAGCAATTTTATTCTCAATGTTATATCCTATACAAGATATACATGTACACTTTTTTCTCTTATAAAAAAGATATTGCGACCGTCATAGACGGAAACGAAGTGCTCTGGAATTTTTGTTGACGTAATGAAGGAAACTTGTTTATTTCTTCCAATTCGTTTTTAAAGGCAATATGCATTATTGCTCCTTTTTTTCTAATTAAGTTACGTAAAGTTCTTTTTGTTGATATTACTACAGAAATATCAGATGGACTACTTGTTGCAAAAACTGTCGTTCATAATTTTCATTGAAAAATGACTAGATAAGACAAGATGTGGGAAGAGAGAGAGAGAGCCTATGGAATATTTTCCATAGGCGATATCTTAACGATTATCGTTTCGCAGGAGACAAGAACAAATGTTATGACTAGAATTCTAGTTCCTCTATGTCGGAAATGTATTTTCTGCAGAGCGAAACCCCAGAGGCATGAAAATTATTTAACTGTTTCCGCAAGCAACTCACTTGTAGAATAGATCTTCATGCATGACATCGAGAATCAACAGTGATATTATGCAACTACATATATTGTTGCATCGTTCATTTAAAAACAGTAATACATTAACGTCTAGATTGTCCGATTATTCAATTTGCTGCTCTTGTTATCAAGTTAGACTGAAAAAAACCATATAGTGACGCTAAGACAGTGCCATATTTTAAGATAAAGAAAACACTAAAATGATGAGAGTTATGACAAATCTTACTCAAGAAAAAACTATAAGATTTAAAAACCTCCGTTTTAAGATCCTTTGAAGGTTAAGCGACATTTTCTAGGAACCGTAAATAGATATCAGTATAAATGCTAATGCAGCACAGAGTAGCACGGCTGATGAACAGTGTAGTCTTGTCATGACGTTATCAGCTGACTATGCGCTGTCATCACGCTCATCGAGCGATACTTATTTGGCTTTCCCATCGAAGGTTTCCTTCTCTTTTCTAGGAAGAGTATCGGTGAGAAGACGTCGAGTAGGATCACATCTCATTTTCACGATAGTATCACGAAGCGTTTCCTGAATGGGCAGACAGAACCTGGAGCAGCCAAGAGCGGCCGGTGGATGAGTAGGACAGTGTGTCGCCGTCCTGCACGTTGAGCCCCGTTCTTCTCCACGTGACCTGGCCACTGACCCACTTTGGTTTCTCTTGGTTTCCTCTCTCTGTCTTTCTCCCGACCCCCTACTCGCATTCGACGGCTTCTGTCCTCTGTGCAGAAACGGTCCCCCCTTCTTCGTCGAATCGGGCTTCCGTCGAATGTTATGTTGCCACCACCATAAACGACTTCCACCATCGGACCGGCCACCACCACCGATCTTCGTCGAAGGCGCCGCTTATGACTTAGCCATGCGATTCCAGCAACACATGCCGTGGCACAAGGTACGACGGCCAGACAGGTACCATCCCGTTTGCTAGCCGGATGGACGATCGCGCGGTACAGATCGGTGCGAGCGCGTAAAAGTTACAGAGATTCTCAAGTGCGATCGGTAGTTAGTCTCGCGAGAACGAATCTTGGTATCGCCGATGTCGTCTGTAGGGTGACGATCAACGAATGTAACAACGCGCGCGATAACAGGAGATCGAAACACACGAGGTCGGTGTACCGGTTCGAAATTCGATCGCGAACGATAGCACACGATTCATGTCGGCGAATCAACCGGCAAGACGAAAGCAAGTTCAGTGAAGAAGTGCGGAGGGGATCAGTGATCTCTCGAAGGGGAAACCATCGTGAAAGGGACGATCCGACCACGACAAGGGCAAGGTCGCGTTTCCTCTCTCGCGCGGAAGCAGACCGGAAGAGCGGACTCATCGTCTGCCGGAATTAAAACAACGTTATGAGACGCGCTTAACGTGCCCTCTCGGTTGCACCCAAGGTTAATGCGCTGCACGGTAAGTGGCTTGGCCTTTAAGGGGTTGTTTGATCGATGATGCGGTTGGTGGAACGAGCACGAGATAATTTCCCCCGTGTCTCCAACAAAAGGAATTGCTCCGCCTTCGTGATACATTATATTCTCGACTTGGGAATTTCTAACGAATTTCTACATTTAGCGGAATTTGTGAATTTAAGTAATTAATCTCATTTAGGATGTCTAATAAAAGCAGCGTATAAATAATTAGGTGAAAGAAAAAAGGAAGCGTCTCTCCTTGCAACATGTGTTTTTTAAAAAATAAGTGAATCCACTTTAGTAAAAGATTATTTTCATTTAAAACATTTAAGTGGCGCATTTTTTATAATTAAAATTTAAATTAAGATTAAGAAACGTCTAAATAAATCACGTTTTCCTTTCATTTCATATATCTATAATAAATAAGTCAATTTTAATTAATATTGTTAGTATTGTAACCATTTGAATACTTTATTAACTCATCTATTTTAAAATTTAAATATGATATAAATGTCATCGTAAAATCACTCACAAAATTGAATTAAATTAATTCTTAATACACACGATTAAATTATCGTGTCTTTCGTGCATTTCTTATCTTTCAACTATCAGAACGACTAAATAATGGCTTCTATCTTCTTTTGCATAATTTTATAAATATTTTTTAAAATTATTAAAGTATATGTAAGAAACACTTAATAATTTTTGTGCAGTGATGTGAATTATCTTAGGATACGAATAATTCATCGTATATAATAAAAATCCGAAAAATCATCGTGGTATTAGAAATTAATTAATATTTATAATGAAGTAATATATATATATATATATATATAAACATAGTTCATGTTAAATTTATTCTCAGAGAAAGTTTAACGCGAGATAATCGGCATGAAATTTAATATTAGCGCCAAAGCTCAAACTGTTTACCAAAACCAAGATCGGATAGTAATTTGACTTCCGTCGGGCAACCGGAGAAAGTCATGTTCTCAGCATTCCGAAGATGCAAACAGAAGACCATTTGGCATGCCCTGTTGCGTCGCGGTATTTCGATTTTTCATTCCGTAGCTCTTTTTCTCCTCGTATATTCTTCGTCCACGCGTCATTAAACGTACGCGCGTTCGACACGATGCGTCTGCTCGAGCTAGACGCCGAAAGTTGCCAGGAAGGATCTGCGACACACAAATCGATGACGCAAGTAACAGGTATCGGCGACCTGGCTCGCAGCGCGGACCTGTCCTCGTTCACCGGCAAACGAGACGCGCAGCGTGATGCACCGACCGTGAAGCGCGCACACCTGAATCATGAGAAGTTCAGCATCGCACGAATTACCCTTCCAGTTTTACGTTACCAGTTTCATACGTGCAACGGTCACGCATAAGGTTGGCGAATCTTAAACGTGACGTCCGCCGCAAACACAGTTATGCTCGGTAAACATTATCAAGTTGTCATAAAAATAAAATAAAGATCATCAACGTTTTTCTGCACAACCTTCCAGCTTGTTTACGTTTTTTTTTTTTTCCACAAACTGTTGTCCTGTTTTTCGCAAACTGTTGCTTATGTGTATACTGTTATACTTATTATATTTGAATACTCTCAGTTCAACGAAGAAGTCCGTGCAGGATGCATAAGAAAGAAGATCAAGATTTATTAATTTTGGAAAACTAATAAATCGTTTAAGGTATTTTCGCTTCTAGAGGATTATAATTTTCTCATACATATATCTATCAAGATACTCTTTAAACGGATAAAAGATCTTCTATGTTGACCCTTAGCAGCGTCTACCGCGTACATCTTTTACGTACGTACACGTCCAATGTGTACCTGAGTCAAGTATGTGGTGGCGGGTCGTAACGGTTGTCGAGGCTTCGACAGTTCGTTGTCACTCTTTCCAATCATGTAGACTCATTCGCACGTTTAACGTTTCTACGCCTTTAACCGGTTAATCCGTGAAAAAAAGATTTACATTTGTAACACATGGCGTTCCTTTAAAGTTAATTCACATGCAAACAGAAATTCACCGCTAATGTGGATTTTTCACGTGAAAAGAATTAAATTAACCCGTTAATTTTTTTAAATGTACAAATCACGATTTACTTGAATATCTTTTAACATCCCTTCGTAGCTTTAACGTAAGCAAAATATCTAAATAAACTCTTTGATTTTAATAAAATAATTTCTATAACGTAATAATTAACATATAAATCGTAATTAACGTATAATTAATGCTCGTGTAAGTCGGTTAAAATATTATATTTACAAAATTACGTTTAGAAAATTATGAAACAGAAAATTATATACATAAATTAAATTAATTAAATAATTATATAAATAGATGAATTAATTTCAACCTGTAAAACAGTTAACCATTAAAATTTAAATATGTAAAGTTTATTAAAAACAGGATTTCCCCTTTAATCGAAAAAGTATCTTTCTAACAAAGTCGCGTTGATAAACCGCAAATGGTTACGCAGCTTTTCGTGTCATCATTAGCACGTTAACGTACAATACTGCGGCTATCACTTTCGATGCTTCGTACAAGGCGATCGGATATTGAGTCTTCCGTGTTGAAACGAGCACAAGAGGAATCGATCGGTTTTGCACGAATGATCGCGCTCGAAATGTTTTAAACGATCGAGTGAAAGCAGCGGCCGTCTGCATCTTCGTCCTAGGTCTAGTTTCGCGCGGTCACTTCACGGACTTCTGTGTTCCATTCGAATGGCACGGGTTCCCTACTTTCTCAGATTATTTCGCTAATCACCGTCGTCTCGATAATTGACGCTCGTGCTTGCACTCATAAAGAGAAAATGGAGGCCAAAGACGTTCCGACCTGTTGAATTAATTCAAATCGCGCTTATCCGCGAAAAGCGAATCGCGGAAATGAGACTGAGTTATGAAAAGAATCTTTCTTTAATTTATGAGAGAAAAAAATTTCATTCATAAAATCACTTGCAACATAAAAATTTGAAAAACCCTAACGGTTTCTAGACAGATCTCCAATTATATATTAACAAAGTTATAATGAGAATGAATTTGAAATAAAGGTCATTGGTCTCTGTTGTAACTTTCAGCGTTAAATTAACGCTTTAATGGACATTTCGACGTCATCAATCACCCACGCACATGTGATCGTTAATAGTAGCTAATAGCATCAATCGTTGATGATCTACACGACAGGTTGTCGAGGACGAGGAAGCCCCCGTTGAGGTAATCGGGTCACCCAGATCCAATAATCAAGATCCAATCACGTCGAACTAAGCTTTCTCCGAGGTTCTCGTACGTGTGTATCTATGCGTGCAATGTACGTTGCATCGTACGCACTTGCATTCACGATACCTTAGTGACGAACGGCCAATGAACGCGGAAGAATTTTCGATTCTGTTGATTCGCGCCTTACCGGAGGTCGAGGTTGGCAGAGGATCCTCTCGGCAAGGATCCTCTGTGTGACGAGCGCGCAAACGTGGGATCTCGCCGTGTTTTCCCGCAAACGTTTTTTTCCGATTCACCGGAAGAATTCTCCTGTACACCTTCTCTGCCGGCAGTAAAGCACGTCGAGAGAGAGGACTCGTTTACCATTGATCGCCCCGGCAGATAGCTCGGAAAGTAATGTCCGCGGGAACGTAATGTCGCGGTTTTGTGCTGTCGACGATCAATAAACATAGTAACGAAAGCGCGAAGCAACATAGACGATTAGAAATTTTATATATATAATTTGATAATAAATAATAAAAATATACATCATGTATAGATGCTATGCACGTATAAGTAGGAAGGTTAAGCAAAAAGAAACAAGCGAAAAATAAGAGATACTGAGATAATAAATTATAATTTAATGTTCAATAACTTGTCGAAAATAATAGAATGTTTCAACACAGATATTCTTCATTATAGCTAAGCAAAGTTATAGTTTAAAAAAAATTAGAGTGCAAGAATATATAAGTCAAACTAATATAATTAAAAATAAAACCGATTTCGTTTAGCTGAATGAAGATTAGTTGAAACATACCATTATATTTTTTACAACTATTTAACATTAACTTATTGTTTATTACTTAAATATCTTTTGCTTTTTGTCTTTTAACTTCTTATTGTATACTCTGCAACGTGACTTTTTTACTATTTATTATGCACGTACATTTTATAGTACAAAAAAGATGGTCTAAAAAAAGTAAAGTGGAGGATGCTACTTGAAGTGCGTTGAATTCTCAAGTTGATTGGTATAATCACCGACAACGACCGGAAAATGTTACGCGAAAACGAAACACCTGCAACGAAAGTGACTTCCGCGTATTCACGGCCTACGTACGTAGGGCATACGAAAGGCTCGTACTTGTGTGTTAACAACATATAACGATGTAACATTCTCACGATGTAAGCCTTGTGCAACTATTACGCGATATACCGACATTATCATAATTCAATCGACCCTGAATCAAGGTAGCCGTGCACAATGAAGTGTGTGTTTAACCTTACGCTTAACTTTAAATAAAACGTTTCATAATTATGGATTATGTTAATATATAAGTTAAGCATTATGTATTTATAATCTACGATCCTTTTTCATATTGTCCTTGTATTGTAAAAGTTCTTATTACATATGCAAAAGTAAATATAATATATATTTATTATTATTCTTGTTCTTAGAGTTATTTTATTTTTATTATTATTTTTTATTTATGTTATCTTTTATCATCTACCATAAGTTTTCTCTCGTTTCCTCTTAATGAGAACTATAGTCATAAAACGTGAAATATTTTTTAATTTGACTAATTTGTTTGGAAATATTTATTTTAAATATGTATTATATTTACGAAGCGGATCAAGCGGCATAATTTTAAATATAAATGCGAGTCACATTATATATATATAAATGTACATATAATATGTACATATAATTCCAGTAATTAGTATAATTATCCAATATTTAATGAAATTAGCATAATCATGGTACATTTAATCAACATCATATAAATCGACCGGATGTTTCGTAGTTTTTAGGTTAACAGGTGAGAGTATTAATATAGTCGTATCAACTCACGTGTCTGTGTGGAACAACAGTTCACTTTAACGGATTGCATTAAAAATCAGAGCGGCACGAACGAACCATAAATAGACGAAAACGTTATCATAGCTTATGTCGATACCATCATTTGGCAACCGAGCAATCGCTATGTAAATTATTCCTCTATAGTTACAATTTAACTTTACGGAACTTACCTAATATAAAAACTTATACTTTTAGTGCCGCGCCGCGCATCTTATCGATCCATTAAATTCTCCATTTTTAGAATTTGAATCTACAGTAGCTGCCAAAAATTTCCACCAATATATAGGTATAATATTTACGATAATTTTAGTCAATTTATTTTTCAGTTTATATTACAAGTTAATAAAATTTGTGTTATAATAAAATTAAGAATACAAATATTTTAAATACTATATAATACATATTAAATACTTTATATACATTAAATACTTGTATACTAAATATTATTTATGTAAACATTGTTTTGTCTAGACTACATACATTAAAGTTACTCGGAAATTTTCAGCATTGCATATGAAATTTAAAAAATTAGAACTCCAAAAGTTAGATTACGGTACCTTAAAATTCACAAACGCAATTCACGTACATTTTCACTGGCACGTTGATTTAAATGAATGACGGTAATCTTGTATGACACGTTGTAAAATGAACTTTATAATGGGTTAGCAAGGCCGCGGTGGGAATGGGACAGAATGTCGGTGAATTGGTAAACTGGGTCACCAGTGTCTTGGTGAACCTGCGTTAAAGCGACCAGCAGCCCGACGCTCATTCCTCGTATCCTTGCTTCTCATCGTCTCTCCATTTCTTCTCCTCGTCTCGCTCATCAAGACCTCTACTCTATCACCGAAGATCTCCGGCGACTTTACCTTCAGGTTCCTTCAGTATCTCGTTCCCGTTCCTCCGTCTCGTCCGCAGCTATCGTACACCGGGCTTGTGTGACTGACTGTAACGGGATTCCGGACATACGCGCGCGCCCGTGTTTGCTTGTGAGCGTGAACTTCTCCAGCAAGGAAGAAATACATAGGTCCAAGGCGATGTTTGCTTCTCATACATTTTGACGATTCTCGTGTGAAAATCGTGTGTGACGTATACACTGTACTCGTGGAATTTCAAAGAAGTTTTCGAATATGAACTTGGCGAAAGCGACAAAGCGAGTAAAAATACGCTTCTTGTTTCACTTAAAGTTTGAATAGTTATACGATTTGCCTTCATTTCGATTAATTCTATTTTTATCTTTTTATTGCACTTAGGTTAAATTAGATACAATTTTATATTTTTATAATTTATAATGGCGTCCGTAAACCTTTTTTGACCTTTTGCTCCTTGTAAAAGTTATTAATAGAGCTCATCAACTCGCTCACGTTTACCAGCGTTTTTTTGTGTGTGCAAGCATACACCTACGCAATATAGAAGCATTGATCCATATTTGTGAAATATTGGTTAACCCTTCATGTATTCATCCATTATAAGCATTACATTATCAGTCATTGGATTCACCTGTTCGTTAATCTATAACTGTAATTTAAAATGACACGCTACGTAAATCGAACGTAAACCACGTTTTAATATACAATGAAAATATTTTTAGATAAAATTGTTACGAAGATAAATACGTAATATTTATTTTCAAATATATATTCGTTGTAATTAAAATAAATTAATATTCTAATTTACGATCCATTTGGTGTAATATTACACGCTTCATTATCTTCGGTTTTAATATCATAATCAATAATCATTTTATATAAATGATAATTATTTACGTTATTTGTATCATATAAATCTCTCTTATTCAACTTTTTAATTAATTTTTGAAAATAAATTATTCTAAATATATCTAGTTGAGTTTTAAATAATAAATGTTCTTTAGTGCATACAAACTGTTGCAAAATTAACTACTAGTTTTGTAAAATTAATTGAGAGAACGCTGTAGAAAATCGTCTCACGACTCTCAGTTTTTCTGGAATACATACGACAGGCTGATATTTTTGTACCGTTACGAGAAATAAATACACATGCCGATATGTAGATCTGGTAATCAGCTCTGAAAAATTATGGCTACTGAATGATTATGGTCGAAGATGAACCTAAAAATAAGACGCAATCTCTATTCGGTGTCTCAATCAACAGATGTTACCTCTTCATAAATTGTTCACTTGAAAAGGAAGAATATAATTGATCAAATAAATATGTTCTGCGAATGCTATATCTCTCACTTATTTTATACTTGAATCCATTTATATCATTATGAGAATGGAGAAATTTTCTAGCTGAAACGTAATGCGCGTTTAATGGATAGGATAAGTAAGTTTGTATCCCGTAGAAAGAAAATTGTAATTTATCCGCTTTTTCTTGTGAATATAAGCGCTATATGAGTATAATAATCTATATATCTTTTGCGTCATATTTTATGTCTCAAAGTGAGGTCTTTAAAACTAAAGGGTACTTTAAGATCGTCGTTGAACTGGTGCCAAGAGCCTTTATAAATAAATTAACGTTGACTTAAAGCAGAACTACCTTTAAGTTTGTTAAAAACTTTTTAATTTTAAATTTGCTTAAAATTGTAATGTACAACTAATATAAATTTTTTACGATTAATATGTCATTTATCGAAAAGTATCTCTAGGTTTACTTAAAATACTTTTTCATTACAGATGGTTGCTGAGAAAGGTGTCTATCTGCTGTTCATCTTTCTTACTCTGACATGCGTCTTTTCTCACTCCTGGACGCCTCAAAATGAAGGTAATTACGACAATTGCTACCATCTACATTTCATATATCTATTTTAATAAATATTTAAATATTTCTCGACTCATCAAACGAATTTTATTAACGCTTATCTTTCTCTCTCTATTCCACACATATATATATATTTAAAACATTGAAATTAGAAACTTGTTTAACGCAAAAAAAGTAACCCATATAATTTACATAATTTTCAAATACATTTTTTCCCACATAATAAATCATTGTTTTTTATCGTTAGGAGATAATGAATACGTGAGTAACGCGAAACTTGGATTTCTACTTTTACAAATTATTCTCGTATATGCATTCTCGTTAACATGCATGCCAGTGTCCGCGGCTCGTATACAAAATGATACGTTAAAGTCGGTGGTCATTACTGACACCAAATTCTACTTTCTGTCTTTCTTTGAGCAAAATCAACAACAGAGAGGTGGAGCCGAGAACGAAGCTTTTCGCCATATGCCATTTATTCCGGTCGCGCGTTGAGCGTATAATACAGACGAGGTGAAATTCGATTTTCTGCCGAGCTGCGCGAATATCGATGTCTCACGTACGTCGCTTTCGGTCCCTTCCGGCGAGCATGAGAGGAAGGTCAAGGGTCGTTGGAGAAAAGCCGCGCGTCAGTGTTTCAAGTTTTAACTCGTCGCGTTTTTACGAATTTTTTGGCACGGTAAATATTGACACTGTATTCTACTTAGAGTTTCACGCGTCTTTTCGGAAGTCGCAAGAGAGACGTATCCGTCCATGAGTTTGTTTGTGTAAAGCATATAAAAATTTTAAGAGATACGCGGTACTCGAGATGAAAGTGGCGCATGTCGGAGCAATATCGTTCCAAATATATATTCTATATCACTCAATTATACATGTTATTGACGTATTTATGGAGAATAAACTTCGGAACATGACGGTCATTTTAACGACAGTGATATTGAATTATTAATTAAACATGATTATTTAATGTAGCACATAATAAGCGATTTTGGCAACTTCAACCTCGAAGAAAATTAATTTAGCTATAATATAATTAATTAAAACATGACGTGAGATTGATATAAACAAATAACGTCCACGTTTTAATTAAGGTAATTAAATCAATTTAAACAAAAGTTAAACAAAAATTTCAATTAATAAAAATCAAATTATAATTTAAACGTCAACACATTTAACATTGGAAATTAAAATGTAACGATAAACAATCTATACGATGAAAATCTACTGCGAGAAGAAGATTGACTTCAAGCTTCTCATTAAACACAGTTAAACAGACGACAATTCTAGGACACTCTTATTTATTGACGGCGAATTTTCAAATGTCATCTATCGAACACGTCAAGTTTTCAACGTCGTGAATCCGAAAGACGCTCTCTCCCGACTCGAAATTATTCTTACAAGCTGGCATATCACACAACTACATTTAAATATTTATTAGCGATGACTTTGCCCTATATATCAGAAATTCACCTTTCTCCACTTTCGCACGTTAATTTGTGTCAAGAGACTCTGTGGCTCGTGCGACACTCGCGATGGCATTTATAGCTCTATAATGGTTTATGATGACATTTCTCGCAGCGCGTGAAATTTCTTCTCGTTGAGAATTCTCTTTCGATTCATTTGTTATATCAATTTATATGGGATCTATTAAAAGTTGAACGCTTTTTTATTGAGCACTCAATTATATGACTTAAATAAAGCTTGTAAAATTGAATGAACAAAGAAATTAAGGTATAATAATTATTAGTCATTACTGCTAGATTTCAGGACAATGATAAAATGATAAAAATTTCATATTAATTAAAATATGTAAATTATATATAACACGAATGACAGAAATATAATAGGAAATATCAATTATTACAAAATGAATCTTTTTAATAGCATTCTCTAACTTATATATCTGCTTTAATATAATACCCATATTTTAACCGATTTTATTTTATCTGCTTTCAAATGCACGTGGCACCCTGTCGACGCGGAAATACGCGTGGGAAATGCATACGGGAGCGAAAAGTTTAACCGTAATACAGGTTAATTATTACTACTATTTGTCCCTAACATATTTTCCTAAATATATATTTTATCGTTGTAGTGTACTATGATAGAATAAATGAAAGACTACACATATCTCGCAGGAAATTGTGCATCATCATCTTTATCGTGATACTCATGTTTAACACATCAACAAGTATTTTCTAAAGTGTTCATTTTCTCGTGATCGGTTATTGATTGAGATCAACAAACCATTAACATGCTTAGTAATTATTTTCATTGTGTAAGACATATAATTTAAGATGTAAGACATATAATCTATATAATCCATCGGATGAATGTACACGAAACAGTATATATGGTAGATGAGAAAAGTTCATGCAGTAACGCGATACGTTCAATTTAATTCGCGTAAATAATTCACGAAGGTTGCTACAAAGCTTTCGGATCATCGTGCATATTTAATGCGGCACTTTTCCGTTTTAAGCGAACTTTTGTTAAACATAACACCAACAACGAGCGTTTAATGCTCGTATTATGTCACGTATCTCATAATGATTAATTAGGCTATATGCACTTTATACAGATTGTCTATTAACTAGCATGCCTTACGTGCTCTAGAATAGGCATAATCGCGCTTCTACGACTCACATAGTCAACCCATTTTTCGCGACATTGTGCACAATTGTGCGGCTAATTTAAATTGCAAATTGTCCTCTTCTATTTTCCGCGTCACGTGGAAAAGAAAGTTGTACAACCCACGACAAACGCCATAAAAAAAATATGTAAATGTTTTTGCGAGAACATATTTGCAACCCAAGGACCAGGCATATAAAAAAACGATGAATTTAATTTTTCAAGTTTCTAATCAGTTAAGAACTCAAGCTTTCTCGCACTTCTACCACACTTGATACTGTTGTTATACGTACATCGTTGTATATATCTTGTTCTAACGTTACAAATAAAAAGAAATTATCGCGCATATTTTTATTCCGTATTGTGTTACTTGATAAATATTATTTTTATTACTTCACATTTATTGCAATGACATTTATTTTCTATATTTTCTATATTTTTCATATTATAATAGGGAAATCTCTCTCCAAAGGACGAAAGATTAAGAAGATATTCGAGAAATGTACAACATCTTTCAAACGATTTTATGACAAGTTTTAGGCGTTTGTGTTCTTCAGGTATGTTCGGAAACGAGGGAATGCAACATACCGAGACTGATAAATATGAGATAGATCGGTAAGCCGCGAGAGTCCGCGCATAGCAAAAATCTGGAACGCCAGCCGCGAGTATCCAGACAAGCATCGCGGACGGATCGCGGAGTAGGTCATCATATATCGGCAGTGTGCAAGCGCGTAGAAGGCACGTGCGGCGGAGCCTACATGCCTGCTCGTCTATGCTTTGGTCAGCTAAGCATAACCGGAAAAGATAGCCGCGTATGTGCAAACACAACACACACGCGCAAAACGGGCGTGCATCTCGTAACCGACGTTTTCTCGCCGTATCCCGATATTAACTCAATATTGACGCTGATTCATATTTTCTCTCGCGTGCTCGAGAGAAACAAGCAAGAGGAGAGATGTTATCGCCAAATCTATATGATGGGAATTAAATGAAAGAGCGAGGATAACTTTTTAAAGAAATAACCTTCCTTTCGTTCTCCTTTCTTAAATGAATCGATATCTACGCGATATCTATATTTATACTCTTCTTGCTCCGTTCATTCTATTGCAACATCGGTGGCTAAAATGGAAATGTTGCAAGATAAACGATGTCCATATATTTTTGGCCCACGCAAAAACGGTTGTTTAACGTCTTCACTACGGTTTGCATATCGCAACCAATAAATCCTCGATCCGATATTCGATTTCTCTTTAGGGGTAAACCGAAATTTGGGGCAGTGTCTCGAGCTACGTGAACGTGGTATTCTTCCGCAACCCAAATACCAACCGGAGCGAACTTTGGATGCCTCTTTGCAACATGCTATGATGATAATTTATTTTACGAAAATAAACTTTTGCCGTTTCTTCAGAAATTGCGAACATTCTCTAAACTAATATCTTACATACAATATACACGTAAAATAAACGACCAAAGTACCTCACATTAACTATATGGAAAATTAGATAAAAGTAAAATGATTTAGGTTTTACATATACAATAATATAGCTTATAATATGTGAATAAAAGATATCATAAACACGAAAAAAATATCGGTATGGATTTAACACTTTCCGGTGTCCATATAACTCTTACTGTATTGGTATTAACACTAACAATGAAAAGTATATATTATAGACATCGTATAAATTAAATCAACATCAATATTTTTTATATATGTGAGCACAGGTTTGACACCTTTTATACATACAGTTAAAAAACTATCCATTAGTGAACCTTGTATTTATGACATTCTTATTCACCACATTAAACTACATTATATAATATGTGAAAATTAACTCATTTATTGGGATCAATTTTCCATATAATGCGGGATCCTTTATAAAAACGTATAAACTTCTCTTTATTATATGAAATAGAATTATTTATATGAAATACGCTTTACCTTTTTTTCTTTTTCAAATTAACTCTGCACGAAACAAAGAGAAAAGTTGCAAACCTTAGGAGATTGATCTTTTATTATAATTATCTTTCAGGCAGAAAGCTGTTCGGTGGCTACACGATAATACCGAAGGTGTGCCGGCCGTCGTTACCGTCGCGCATCAAGTCGAGCGAGCCACCGATATGCATGTTTAATTATGAATGCACACGGCGTAACGGTGAGGTCGTCGGCGCCTGCATGGACGGCTTCCTTTTCGGTGCGTGCTGCCAATTACCACCGAAGAACTCAATGAGTGGCAACGATGATCCGCTCGGCACCGAGTTTATTAATTTGGACCAGGTCGACCATGTACCCGACATACCTATCCTGCTGAATTCAGATGGCATGCCGATTGGCATGTCACCGAGTGGCGAGACCACGAAGATTGACAAGCCAAATGTCTCCAGCGGCAGCGAAACAGTATACACGAAGATCTCTAGTTCAAATCAAGGCTCTTCGCCGACGCTATCATTGTCCAATACGGCAAACAATGCCGAAAAAATACAAATATCCCAACAGGCAGACGTAAATCAGTTGGCCGATGGTTTCCCAGCTCTTCTAGGTCAGCAGGACATCATCGATGACCTGAGATTGCCAGAATTATTAATGCATTCAGATTCTAATAACGATATCCAGAATCACCAAGATTCGTCAGGGGAGAAACCAATCGCTACATTATTAAGTCCCGATCAGATTCTGCAAATAGTGGATCCAGTCGATCAGCTTCCGGCATTATTCTTGCACGGATTGGGCCAAAACAATCACAGCGATCCAGAGACGATATTGTTGAATGAAAACGGTACGATGCTCGAAGAGATCAACAATCCGGACGAGATTTTCCGACCCTCCCTCACTGAAACACCGATCGATAAGGTCACACAAGATGGAAACACATGGATAAAATTTTCAGAGCAGTCTGAATCTTCCATGCTAGAGTTGACGTCTACGTCGCAAGCTCCCAAATTGACATCTATGATAACGAATATACCTATGGTGACTCAAATGTACACCAACGTGCAAAAACTTACGAATGGTCTATCCAGCACACCACTGGCAAATACATTCGAAAAAATAAGCACAGTTGAGAAGAAAATGACTACAAAAATGATGACGGATTCAATAAAAATCGAAACTACTACGCCAATGACCTCCTCACCAAGCATCAAAGACGATTTGGTGAAGGTACCCACCATTATATACGATTTGCCATCGGGCAACAAGAAGAAGGACGATGTCATTTATGATAAAGAGGAAATCGCTATTAATCACATCATTTCCATTCTGAATGACACTACACCGAATGCAGACGTATCAGTGACTCTACCGGTTCCTAATTCTTCGCCGGTTCAGGCCTGGGTGAGTATTGACGAGACCTCAAAACCTATCCATCATATCAAAGTCAGTTCTTCGAATTATCGACCTACAACGCCCGCGTCCTCGACTTTCCCGTACAGTTATTACAAACCTGGTTTCATACAGTCTAAACCTTCGTCGGCGTACTACAACTACGAGCTCGTACCTACCGAGACGACTTACACGTCGCATCATCAGACATCGAGTGGCTCACGACCATCCACGCAAACGTACTCCGGCGCTTCCAGCGGTAGTTTCATCAGCAACCGACCTACGACAAACCCTCCGGCGCCGACCGTGATAGTTCTCGGCCCGCTTGGAACGAGCTTTACCACGCAAACTACTCAGAAACCTGTCACGAGGAAGCCTTCGGGCACAACTATCAAGCCCACTTCAATTTTGATTAAAACTACTCCTGTTAGACCTATCAGCCTAATCACCAAGAAACCCAGCGTGTCCACTACCATAACTCACAACATCAGTACCGTAATTTCCAACGTTCCCAGTAGCAATGTAGTCTCTACTAGCTATATCAGCGTCAACCTGAAGGATGGCACCAGCGCGAAACCAACAGTTGACGTTAGCACCGAGGCGATCGAGGAAATCGCAAACACAAAGATTCGGCCGAGCACGAAAAGGCCCGTGATTTGGACCACGGTCTCTTCGTGGTCGAGTAAACCAACGTTTAATTTGAAACCGTCGACGTCTAACGTCAATTGGCCTTCCAATAATTTGACGCCGGTTATATTCAAAGATACTGTAAATAAGGCTACTACCAGTGCACCTTGCGATGATGAGACTGCGGCACCAGACGATCTCATCAATTTCCCGCCAGTGCGAAATCCGAACCTCAACATCTCTATGCCGATCTCGCAGCAGGAGAAACCGACGATTGTCGAGACATACAATAACACCGGATATCCGGATATTGAACTCATCAGCGAGCACGATATTCCAACGCCCACATTCGTTGAGGATGATGTGCTGACGAACAAAGTTGATGCTTTCGTTATCAAGCTCGTCGAATCGCTGCAGGGTACCTTTGAGGTAATAAGATAATTTGTTTTTACCAGCGAGAGAGTTTCATGCTTCTGTGTTGTTTGACAAAGTTTTAGATTACTTTGAGTTTTATGCGGATGTACTCGTAACTTAACTTCCAATGCTTTGAACGTTACGAGCAGATAAACACAGTTCACATTAACGTTTCATTATTTTTGTACTCATAATCAGAACGTTAAAAGCTTTTTACACCTTCGAATTTTTTATTTTCTCTAGCTTCTAAAAATTTTACACACTCTATGAGTTAATTTTGCTCGAGTAATATAAAAGCGACAAAATAAATTCAAACATTAGTATAAAGTAAAAACTTGTCTCACATATAATATTGCGAAAGTTGCACTAACATATTAAACTTGCATTATTTTTAATTAAAGATCCATTCTTATTCGTTGTTCGTTTTAACTTATTTAATATATTGTTACGTTGTTTTAAATTTTGGAAAAAATTAATTATTTAGTATGAATTACTTATTAAAGTGCCCTTGAATTAAATAAAAAAAATTTTTTTAATATGATTCCAATTAGAGGATTAATAAATATTTTGGTTTCATATTCAGGACGCGCTTTTATCAATAAATGCGCTTTTATTTCTGAAACTCTATATGTAACGTGAACTATATGCAAAGTGGGCGTAACATTGTTATAAACGCGTTCTGAATACTTTTGAATACTGCATATGAGCCTTTGTTTCTAACATAAAAGACTTGCGTAATTTGTTCTTCTTTTCCGATCGTCTGTTTAGAATCTAAAAGACATAGTCTACACTCGAAATGGCACCATAGAGAATTCAACAACGCCTTCTATCGTAACGAAAAGACCTTCAACAGGAAGCACTACGACAAAAAGATCTACGCGAAAGCCCACAACTAGACCGGTGTCATCCTCGCCGTCGGCGACGACGAAAAGGCCATCCGCAACCACTAAGAGGACTACTCGTTCAACTCAAAAACCGTCGTCGTCTGAGAAACCGACGCGTCCCACTAAAGTGACTACTCTGAAACCTAAACCAAACACATCGCAGAACGTCACAACGAAAAGGCCCCAAGTAATAACGAGGCGTCCGACAAAGCCGACCAGGAAATCCACGATTCCATCGTCCAGCAGTACGGAGGCGATTTCGCTAGAAGAACAGAGTCTGCATACGACTGCAAGCAGTGTTGCAGAAACGAATCCCGTGGCCGACTTTAGGACTCGTAAGTGAGCAGTCGACAAGTTCGCAAAGTTTTTGTAAAAAATTCTACAAATAAAAGATCCGAACATCTAAATCGGAATCACGTTTCTTCTCTACTTTTTCACTAAACCTTATATTACTCTGTTTCAAATCCTTTATGAAAATGTGTATTTTTAATCGCAATTATCATGACTGTTATTACGGTCAACATAATGATTAATTGCGATAACAGAATGCGGCGTGAGACCTCTGATCTCGAAAAGATCAGGAAAAGTAGTCGGCGGAAAAGGCGCAGATTTTGGAGAGTGGCCATGGCAGGTTTTGGTTCGCGAGGCGACCTGGCTCGGCTTGTTCACGAAGAATAAATGCGGAGGTGTACTTATCACTGATAAATATGTGATAACAGCAGCCCATTGTCAACCAGGGTAAGTTATACAAATTTACTTTAAATTTCATCAAAAATTACTAACACAAATAATTTTTATTTATGTCTATATTGTCTATATAACTGTACCATGTTATTAACTTTATATACTCTCTCTTTCTCCCCCCTATAACATATAACAATTTTCAATGGTATTGTTTTGTTTTTGTGAAGAATATGAAAATTATTTAACGTCAGATATATAATTTCAATTTTTATCAATTTTTTAACTGATTGTGAGTAATATATCGAGTTGAATAACGCTTTGTAAACTAACAATTTAAAAAATACAAATATAACATTATTTTATTGTTAGTAGCTTCCTGGCTTCTTTGGTCGCGGTATTCGGCGAGTACGATATTTCGGGCGAGTTGGAACCAAAGCGCAGCGTTACGAAAAACGTACGCCGTGTTATCGTGAACCGCGGTTACGATCCGGCGACATTCGAGAATGATTTGGCGCTTTTGGAGCTTGAATCACCGGTGCAGTTTGATGAGCACATCGTACCGATTTGTATGCCAGAAGACGGCATCGACTTCACCGGCCGAATGGCGACGGTCACAGGCTGGGGCCGACTTAAATACAGTGAGTATCGATTTTCGTTCACCCAATTTGTAAATCGCGAACGCCTTTGTGTATACGACTCATGCGGTAAATTTCCCGCAAGACTAGAAAGTACAAAATAGAACAGGTTACCGTGACGAGAGCAGAGTAACAACTTTCACGATGACTCTCGTATAGCCTCCTACGCGCCCGAATTATGTCCGCGGTTCTATCGTGACTTTCTTTTTGCGCGTCATCTCGCCGTCAAGGTTTTACTAATGGTAACGTTATATTCGATAGATGGTGGGGTGCCGTCAGTGCTGCAGGAGGTCCAAGTGCCTATAATGGAGAACTCGGTTTGCCAGGAGATGTTCCAAACCGCCGATCACGCGAAATTGATTTTGGATAGCTTCCTCTGCGCTGGATACGCTAATGGCCAGAAGGATTCTTGTGAGGTAATCGGATGAGTTGCTCCCTGCTGTATTCCATTAGCTTTATTAACTGTTCCAGCTGTTAGCGGTGCCTCTTTGATCTTATGGCAAATAATGTGATTACTTCGTTGGCTGCACGTGCGAAGCTTCAGTATAACTATACATAATCTACATAAGCTTCGGTATTACTATACATAGAGTATACGTAATCCATTTGATCTTCTATTGTAGGTCTTATTTTTCGTTCTAGAGAGAAATATCAAATCATTCGTTATCAGCCACCATCTTGCACATTACTTTTTAATCCTGATCGCTAACGCGCAATTACCCTTGATCACACGTGGAGAATTCATGTCAACATTTTTTAATATTTACTTTTTATTTTGAACTTTACTTGCTTTTATTATTATTTTATTTAAATCTTCAATATTTTAACGATTAATTCTTGCCTTTTTAATTTGTTTAACAATGCTGCGATAAATATAATTATCTTGCATCCTGTAACATTAATACCGGAAATAGGTCTTGCATAAATAATTATAGACAACGGTAATAATTTTCTTCAGGGTGACAGTGGTGGCCCGCTAGTGATGGAGCGACCGGACGGCAGATGGTTCCTAGTCGGGACCGTGTCTCACGGTATTAAATGTGCGGCTCCGTATCTACCGGGTGTGTACATGAGGACGACTTACTTCAAGCCCTGGTTGCACAGTATCACTGGAGTCTGAGAATTGCGGGCCGCAATCGTCATCTCACGTTCTCGCGTAACTGCGCGAGCGGCACCGAATGCCATTTTGTATAAATGTATAAAGAAAGCCTAATTTATTTCCCCTCGAAATAGAGCGTACTTAACTCAATTAAGTAACACAACCGCAGATGTAATCGGACTTGAATGTCAAAAGGCTGTATCGATTTCTGAATAACAACGAGACGCCCCCTCCTCTTATGCATCCGTTATTTCATGTTTTCCATTAGTGCAACGGGAATGACACTTGCATAAGCAGCAACTTGTGCCGAGTAAATTTTATTGTAGAAGCAGAGAGATGCGAGAGAGAGAGAGAGAGAGAGAGAGAAAAGGAAAAGAAAAAGACAGAAAAGACAAAGAAAAAGAGAGGAGATTGAAGAAACAAGTCAACCTGAGTCTCAAGTTATTTAAATTTCTTCGGAAATAGAATTCTACGGAATTGTCTGCGGTAAATTACTGCTTCTCGGTGCACAACCAGTGCTCGATGTTGCATTTATGCGTATCAATGTTTAAACTCGTCCTTATGCGCATGTGTACATGTATTTGCAAAGTCAACGTTGATGTAGATTTAGAGAAAGTATCAAAAGTTTTAAATCGTTATCACTCCTGGATCGATTCCTGTCGCTTCCTTTACATCCTTCCATGATCGAAGAAACAGATACAAATAATTCACGATTTGCGTCAATACTCTATATAGCGACTTCCTAATTTGAAACTGACTTTTCTATAACAAAAATCTTAATAACAAAAATATCTTATTAATACAAATAATTTTTAACTTAGAAATTATTAATTATTTAATATATAATGTTAAAATTTATAACTTTATAGAAATTACTGACTCCTAAACAGTTCAATTAAGGAAAAGTTGACTTTAAATTAATGATACTTTGAATCATATCAATAACAATTCTTTTTATTCGCAATTTCATTATTAAAAATACATGAACGAATTTTAAACTATCATATGTATGTATCTATGATATGAATAAATTTCAAAACCTACGCAATATTCTTCCTCGTATTTTATGTCTCTGCCTGCTCCGTAAGTATTCGCGCCAGCTCTGTAATACATATTACATAAGTGCATAAAGACGAGCTACAAGACCTATTTTATTTCATTGTTAGATGTTATTTATTAAATACATTTTTATACTACATGTACGGTTATTTTATTCACCATCAACACTCCACGCATGGAAATATCATAAAAGATATCAACGACCATTTGACGTCATATCGCATATTACGCGCCACAATCCTCGAGATAATCAAATCGATTCAACTTTTAATATACTAATCATATGAACAACGTCATCGCAATGATAACATCGCTGCTTCCGGTGCTTCCCATCTTTTTGTCGCTCGCTCGTTCGACACGTGTTTGAACTAAAAGGTCATGACATCGATAAAATCTACAAACTCTATAACCTTATATATACCATATATAAGGTATCTGCCTACGGCACTAATTCTGTGATGTTTGGATTCTGTAGTAAAAATCAAAAGCCCCTTCAGAATTTAAATTCAGATTCAATCAATCAAATATCGCTACACGCCGCCAGCGATTCTCTGCAATTTTTCAGAAGACGAAGCAATTTATGCTTCGGAAAAATTTGATCACTTTTTATTATTTTGTAAATACTACAATTTTTTATTATAATTATAATTTAATAAAATATATCTTTCTAAAATATCTTTAAGTTAATCTTAGAACAAACCCCTTGTTATCTCGTTATACTGTGATTATTAATTCTGTACATCTATGTGATAAATGGAGAAATAATAGCAGAGTGTGCAACTTTATAGGGGAACGAAATGTCGTGCTACCGATTAAGATCTTTGTGAATACGCTCTTTAATAGGTTAGCTATGCATAAAATATATACAGTTATTCTATTCAGAGTAGAACAAATTCCTTGAAAGTACTGTTATCATTATTGGTATCGCATTACAATTGATATTTGTTGTCTTCGTAAACCTCGCGAGATAAGGAATTACGAAATTAAACGTATCAATTATAGAATTGTGTTTCTTGTATCTAAAACACTACGCAGAATGCAAATGCTAAACCGTAAATTCGTATTATAATATTTAATTAAAAATAGAGAAAATTGATAAAATATTAAATAAAACATAATAAATGGGTAATACAAAATAAAAATTGTTTAAAAAGGAATTAATGTTAAATCAGATTAAAAGATATTATTTAATTAAATAATTAAACAGTCTATAAAAATCGAGCTAAATGGATTTAATAATAATAATTATTGTTCTAAAATTTACAATATAAAAAAACTAACAAAAAAATATCGACAAAAAAAATGTTTGTTTTTTTGTTTTTTTTATATTGTAAATTTAAGAACAACAATTATTATTATTAAATCCATTTATCGATTTAGACCGTTTAATTATTTAATTTGCATTACAAAAAACGAGCGAAATTTATTAATATTATTTAATACTTTAGTTTTTAACATATTATATATAAAAACAGCTATTTTAATATATGTATGTATAATCATATTTATATGATTAAAATTTTCCCAGAAAAATATAAAATTATTTGAAGCGTTAAATTAATTGAATTATAGCGAAAATATATATACATATATACGAACAGTCCACATATTGTATTTTTATTTACATAGGGCGCGGTAATTCAAAGGACATGGCATGTCAGCTGACCTTAGCGGAGAATAAATTTCAGTAAGTGATTGAGATCGTTAAACGAGTATTCATCATACAAAACCATCTTGTGCTTATTCATGCGCGTGCTATTACAACGCGAGACAATATACATTTATATTCCATCATAGTGGACACGAAGTTTCTTGGAAGTCTGGGACCTGTTATTCACGACACGCAAGACCAAAGTAATGTTCAAAGTTACGCCACGAAACGTCAAAGCGGAAAGAAGTGATGCGATTTAATGGTACGTACACATAGGTATACGGCGCGACCCGGTGCACTCGCGAAGACGCATGTATGCATTCGCCTGCGTACTCTGGCATTTCGTCACACAGGTGGTTGCATCGTAGACGGTAAGCGTATTTGCGATCTGTCATTGCAAGATTTACCGCATCTACCGCTTCTATTCTCCTCCTTCGCGAAAATATTCATTGAATGTCCTTTTCAGGAAAATAAAAATAATAATAGTAATTAGAATTCAAGATCAATTGTTAGTTGCAAAGAGATTAAAGAGTGGAGATTATGCAATTTAAAACTATCGATTATAATTTATAATTCTTTTAAACAACAATTGGGTTAAGAACTTTTTCTTTTTAGAAGATTTATGAGAAAATTGGCATAATAAAATAATAGTAGTTTATAACTCTATTTGCATAAATTTTCCTTAAACTCTTCAAAATGATAAAAAATTATTTATCAATATTCTCACCAAGGATTTTAAACAATAAAAATCACTTTACATTTTAGAACTTTAACTTTTAGTTCACAACTAAAATAGCTTTCTAAAAATTAGCTCCTTAAAAAAAAAATTATTCAAAAATATTTTATAAAAATATTCAGACCTATTGAAGAGTTCAGATTTGAAAGCGTTAAACAATGACGAGATTATCACGATTTTTGCTTCGCAATCATCTGATATATGTGAAAGAGCACGCGGGGGTTTATAAGCGGGTATATGGAGCAGGAGCGACCACCCGGCGGGCACGTTAGGATACCTTGGATCAATACGACCAAGAGAGAACGAAACTAGCGATAATATAAGGAGTGTGACAAGGAGCGAACTAAAGTGAGCAAGGTAAGCACGATGAACGGCGAGGACGTGTCCTGGCGCGCAACGATGGACTACTTGTTTGTCGTGATTCTCGGGAACACGTTTGAAATAAATATAACAGCGAGCATTAAAAACCAGAAAAATTCTGTAACATACAAAGGACCAACAAAGTCAGGTTCGCACGAGTGACAAGCGAGATTACTCATTATCTCTGACCTTTCACAGAACGTGCGCTTGTTCTTCCGGATGTTACGGAATATCACAATTTCTGAAGTTGTTTTCTGACGCAAACGGTATCCCAAAGGATCGTGATATTATAATTTGCTAAAGAAATTAATCTGTGCGTGTGAATCTGATTGTAAAAAAATTGCATTCAAAACAATGCGTAAAACTGTAGATTTTTTTTCGCACGAGTAGCAAAAAAGGGTATTGTATTATCTGGATTTTTTTTTATCAAAAGTACCAACAAAAACTTTTTTAATTAACAATCAATGGTTCATTGTATTATTAGGTGCACTCGATTATTGTTAATGCTGCATCATTTGTCAATATAAGTAGCTCTTCTTATTCTTTGTTCTAATTGGTCCATAGCTCCTTCCGAGCTAAATCAGATAGTAATAGTAGGTAGTTGATTCAACAATTTTCTTCGGGTGTTCGCAGAGAAATTTGCATATGGCAGTTTCGAGCTTAGGCAATGAAGAGCCTCGGATTGATTTGTTCAAGTGGCTCCTTCGGCCAGCTCACTCAGCAGCAAAAGATCTGAATGAACAAAATGTCACGTAGGTCGCAATAGGGTGGTACGAAAAAAAGAGAAGAAGACGGGGACCGGTGGCGGGTGGCGCATGCGTCACTGTGTATATGCGCCCGTGTGACGGTAACCGGAACGACGTAGAAGTATAGATTGCCGAAGCGAGCACAGCACGAACTCAGTCCTCTAGCAAACTCCACCGAGGACTTGTTGAGCTTGTGTGAACCTAGCGAGGGGTAGCTAATCCTGCCCGGCCGAGGTGTAAAGGCGTTCCAGGCAGCTGAGCCAGGGCGCAAGAACTTTTCGTAAGTGACTCATGGCTTGTTAATAGAAGGATATGTTTCTGAGGTTCTCAGTGTGTCATGACATTCCACGGATTTTTTAGAATCAGAGCGTCCTGCATGTTTTATTTTTCAAATCTTGTCCTTGACGTTGAGACACATTCTTAATATTTTTTTCTAAATAAAGCAGTTCACATATTGAAACACAATTAAAATAGAATAAAGCGATTTATAGATTTAAAATTGAAATACATAAAACAGTGTTTAAATATCTTTCTAAGTGGTTTGATACATTTAGGAATAATTTAAGTTGTAGAAATCGGATATTAAGTTTAGATTAATTAAAATTTTATATTATATAAACGTATTGATTACTATTTTAGCTACATCCATTTATATATAAATGACATGCACTAAATATTGCAAATATAAATTTCGTCATAGATAAAAAAGATAAGAGAGAGATTGATGAAACACGAATTATCGATTATGTATTCGAGGTTATTGCTAGTATTGACCTAATGCAATTCATTTCATATGCTGATCATAAATTATTCCTTGATTATGAGTAGAATATGAACATAACTCGTTATATTTTTCGATCTTTTACAAACAATTAAATGTTGACGCATTTAATCTTCTCGTACGATATATTATATGAAATAATTTTCTTAAAAAAAGATGCCTGCCATATAATTAATTGTAATGTAAATATAAATATTTTGATGTAAGTATAAATATTGTAATTTGAATATTTATATTAAACGAATACAGTCGATTACTTTTAAATGTATTTATAAATATTAATCGTTTAATTAATACACCATCACAATTTGTTATGCAAAATCAGACTGGGCACATTTTCGAAAAATCTTGCATATAAAAATACATGTGTATCGTAGATTTACCCAGTATTTCGTACGCAATATTATTCGAGAAAATGCCCCTTGAGCTACAATAAAGCTCAAGTAATAGTGCACTTTTGTGAACCTTGCTAATTAGTGTGCCATAAGAAGTAAATTAAAGATATAAAATTACAAAAGAAAAAATAAGTAATAATAACATCGATGACTTCGCATGAAGAATGCTCTTATCGGTTTTTGTATTATGAAACCGCACAGCAACCGTGAAAAGATCATTTTAAGAAAAGTCTAGTAAAAGCATTACATCAATGGCATTTGATATGATAAGCCATCATGTAAAACGGGTTCGATGCTAACGGCTAACTGCGTCTTACGGATCGCTGCTTGCAACAAAAACAGTCGGGATAAACAACACGGAAATAAAATAACTCGTGAGAGGTACGAGGAAGAGAAAATCGAGTGAAATTCATTCCAATTTAAACGGTAACAAATTCCTTCTTATCCTGTTTTGTAATTTAAATATTCTGTTTTTGTCCATATCTTTATAAGCTGTATCGTAAATATAATCTAGTTTTACGTAGAATCTTTTAGACATTAAATGTAATTTCAGTACATTACTGCCAGTGACATTTTCAAAACAGTAACAAATTTAAGTAATAAAAAAATTAAATGTACATACTTCCTTTGATGACTTAAAAAAAAAATTTCAAAATGTCTTAGAAATTTCTGAATATTTAAATTGCTAAATTTATAAAATGTCAATGTCACGCACTTATAAAAATTACTCTCAAAGATAATATATCTTTTCCCAATTACTTTGGAACAGTTATACATATAATGCATTTGTAAGCGTTTACGCAATAATACGTAATATAAATTAACGTTTACTTTTCAATAATGTGCGGTTACGCCGAGTTTTCTCTGATAAATTGATTTTAACGCGATATAAGAACTCTTTCTCCGTCGGATGATTACAGAGCGCTAAAGATCAGTACATCTCTAACGGCATGAAGGCGTGTGCGGTGATAACGTTAGTACTCGTAGCAAATACGGCTTACATCGGTGTCGAGGCATGGGGTGGCCTTTTCAACCGCTTTAGTCCTGAAATGCTGTCTAATCTCGGCTATGGCAGTCATGGAGGCTATATGAACCGTCCTGGATTATTGCAAGTAAGTAAAGCGACCTATCCTTGAAAATGTAACAGTTTTATATCTCGCGATCATTATGATCAAGTGATCGTCACATTTTGTAAGAAAGTCATAAAAATTTGGATACTACATTTCAATTTTTCAAACGCCCTTCACATTTTAGACATGAAAGATAAAAGATATTCAGATATCCGTTGGATTTTTTTTTAAGACCTGAAAATCTAGACATTTAAATCCCCAAAAAATGTTATAAGACGGTATATTCCTCGGTTCTAATTAAAATCGTCTTAAGTATAATCTGGAGATGTCATAAATTATAATACGAAGCCGTATTAGCATAAGCATAATGACTTAAGACGATTTTGAAATAAGTACAGACTGTAAATTATACGCGGCTTTAATTTTTCAAGTGTCCTTTAAATATAGCTTTGATGTCGAAAATAAAAATTCAACAGTCTCCCTTAATTTTTTTAGATATTTTTTAAACTTTTTTTTAATAATCTAGACGACTAAATAAAAGTTTAAAAATTACTTTGGACACTTTTAAACACTCTTCACATAATATTCATATTTTAGACGTAGACTGATAAAAATCTAAAGTACTTGCAAGTTTGCCTAGATGTCCTTCCGAGTTTTTTAAACGTCGTTTGAACTTTTTATTATTTGATTTAATTAGCAACACCGTGCCGCAATACAGGTCACGCACGATCGATACTTCATTTTCGAGTTGCGTGCACTTGTACTTCAGTAACCGTGAGAAGAATTCTCCAGCGACTCTATTCATTTCGCATTTCTTTGATCGCAAAGAATTAACCGCGAAATTGCGATCTGGAAATTGAAGCCCCCGTAGCACGATATTTGTGAAATTACTGCTACTATAGAAACTTTTACTGCGTTTCAACTGCAGTAGAAGCCATAACTTCTGGGAATACTCAAGCCCGATAAATATCTGCGCTCGTTTCAATTGCGGCTTTATTTATTTCACATTAAGTCAGGAAGATTAATTCTCTTCGTCGCGTGTATAATCAAGCTCCGGAAAATTTCTTTTTATATTAAATGGAATGCAAAAAAGCAGGAATTTTAATATTTTCTTACTCGTAAGTTCTTTTTATTACATGCTTCTTATATAGGCCATGTACCAATATATGTACGTACGCTATCAGTATTGAAGAGAGAGATTTATAATATAAAACTATATATTTTCAGTACTGACAGTGTATATCGGAACGTGGCTATATAATTATTTTACTTATATATTCTTTTGTTTAAAGAACAGTGAACTTGCAAAATATTCTAAACTAAACAAAATAATATAAATAAATTTGATCCAGCAAGAGGGTATTAAATGTATTATCATTAAACTCACATGTGATCTGTGATAAAGAAAAGTAAAGGAAAAGCATCACGTAATACACTGATAATAATGATTCATCGAAATAATGGATGTAAGCTACACACAGAAATAAATGATTGAATAAACTGAAATCAACAAAGAAAAAACAGGTTACTGTTTTGTATATATTTCGAAGCAATCCTAACAAATAATTATGTTCCGTTTAATTATAATATTAATTGAAGAGAAAATGACAAATTCATTTTACCGCATCCCGTTTTTAATTTTTCCCGACAAATTATTACGACAATTCTTAATAATGCATTTAAAATCTTAAATTGTAATTATATTTTAAATAAAGCAGTCAATTCAGGAAGGATATGGTGGTATATACGAAGGAGTTGAGCCAACAGAAGAACCTTGCTACGAGAGAAAATGTGTATACAATGATCACTGTTGCCCGGGGTCTATTTGTGTGAATCTCGATGGAGGTAAATCAAAAGAGAAAATTGAATGTTTGTTCCTATTAATTAATTAAAACCGTTTTAATTAAAATGTTATTTAATTAAAACTAATAAAGCACCCTTCTTAAGAAATAAGTTTATGTCTTTGACAACATTTGAGCATTAAAATGACGACAAATAATGACAACTTGTTTTTTTAGTTATTTCTCGTTCTTTTCGTTTTGTCGATAAGAAAATAATCATGAGTTTAATGTTTCAGTTGTTGGAACATGTGTTTTCGATTTCGGTATGAAACAAGGCGAGCTTTGCAGACGGGATAGCGATTGCGAAACAGGCTTAATGTGTGCCGAAATGCCTGGACGGGAAACAAAATCGTGTCAACCGCCGACCACTTCAAACAAATTATACAGTACGTTGACAAATATATATTTTGCTCTTTTAAAACAATATATCCAAGCAGAACAATAAGACGCGATACATCAAAGCGACGTTAAATTAAATCGTAAATAATTGAAAAATAACTTTCAGTGATCATTTTGGAGTCATCATTTTAATAACATGATGATCTGTTTTGCTCGGTCATACAGTTCCTTAAGATCATAAAAAGATTCTAGCAAATGTAATGTATTTACAGATGAGGAGTGCGCTATGTCAAGTGAGTGTGACATCAGTCGTGGACTGTGCTGTCAATTACAAAGACGACACCGACAAACTCCTAGAAAGGTAACAATAGTTATTTATTGTTATATGAATCGTAAAACATATATAATTATATCTAAAATTTTAAGAAACGTTCAAAAAATTTTATTTCTTTAACGGAGTGTTTTGTGTATGTGAAAAGAAATGTCCTATAAAATGTCCTTGTTCCGTGAATATAAATCTTTTTTAATATCAAGTAGAATTGATCGTTTTATAAATCTAATAGAAAAAACTCATTTTATATAATTCTAACAATGGAAAATCTTGGCAGGTTTGCTCGTATTTCAAGGACCCTCTGGTCTGCATCGGCCCGGTGGCGACGGATCAGATAAAGTCCGTGATCCAATACACTTCCGGCGAGAAACGGATCACCGGACAGGGCAACCGCCTATTCAAGCGGATGCCATTCGCCTAAACGCTTGCGCGTCATCACAACGGATGGGAAGTATGCAGCATATAAGATAAGCTACGAGAAAATCAAATTCTCCTTTAGTCGTTGTGAAGATATCTAGGTCTAAGTGTGTCGATTCGACATTATCTCGATCTCCTTCCTAGTCCTAACTTTACTTCATGCCACGATACACCGGAAAGTATGATGATAGCGTGCGATAAAAGTGGAATTACACATAACTCGGGGAGATGTTACTTCAAAGATGTTTCTTCTTCGAATATAGCGCGACTGATAAAACACATATCATAGTAAGCCGTCTTATAGGTCTCTAGGGATAAGGGACACGCTAGCGTAGTTACAATAAGGAAAGTGCGCTGATGTTTAAGAGCGCCGTTCGACAAAGATGTTTCTTAATGATATAGAACTAAGGTGTAGAAGAAAGCTCGAAAGAAGTTTATCTATCGGTCTACCGGTTGAGCTTTTCTTTCGAATTGTAGAGAAAGTTTAGTGAAGAGCATTTAATTGTTCGCGATAAGTCATGGTGATAGAAATAAGATATAATAAATGAGAGGCGTGCACAAAGGGATAAGTGAAGTCCTTGTTATCGTCGCAGTGTCAACATTGACTATTTTATTCTATTAATGATATTATTCTCATTATGGTAATCTATAGGATATTTCAAATGATAAAGTCTATCTTCGTGAATTTTCGAATCAATAGACTAATAAATCATGACCACTAACAACACAACAATGTAGTTGCATCGAGATAATTCGCGATTTCTCTCAATGCGAGAAATTTCAATGTCGATACCGTGAACGATAATTAAATTAAGAGACTGCTCTTTTTAACTGCATTTCCGTATATTTTCACTGCGTATCATAAAGTCAAATTTGATTTAAAATTTATTAATTTCGTAATGACAAAATAATTTTACACAAAAAAAAAGATGATATGCTTTTTAACACAAAGTTAAAACATATATTTTAAAATGAAAGTTACTCAAAATCTAAAAGAGAATAAAATAATTCTAAGATAGATATTTTCTAAATTTGAGATGTCTGAATTTTTTTTGGGAAAGCGCTCTATACTGTTTGTAAAATGCAATTTTGCAATTTTTCAACAACAAGATAAAGAAAGTGCAGTTAAAAGGAATAAAAGTATCGCTAATGGTAGTAAGTTGACTTACATCTTTAATTGGAGTTCTTAAGTGATTCTAATGAGTCGAGATGCCAGCAGGACGTGACAAAAGAAGTCATCTGCAATGGCGGATTTAAGAGTCTCAAATGAAATAAGAAATAACATCCCAGCAAACACACAAAATATAATTGCAACATTGCAGCAATATTGTAGTTACATTCTGTGTTTACTGGAATTTTTAGCAAGACAAATAATATTTTCAATATTACGAAAACGTTTTCCACTTTGTTACTAAAGTAAGAATGTTATAATCATAAACAATCATAAATCAGTTGAACGATTTGGGAAAACTCAGTAATATACATATAGGTCCTTAATAAGAAACCGGTTATCCATAAGTCCGCCATTGCACGTCCCGTTGATTATTCAACGCACAGATCGAAATATTTATTTTTCTTTCTATATTATACCGAACGATCGTCCGGCGGACATCGCAAGAAACGCGAAGTGTCATTCAGACGGTTTTAATGATGGAGAAGTATTTTCTACTGGGGGAAGAGAGCTGAAAGAGGCGCAAGTACCTTATAATTATAATTCAATCGATGTTTCGAGTTTATCCTTAGAAATTGTACTTAGATGTTTAACTCGATCTATGTCGAATACATTCCTACCCTTCTCCAAAAAGAACTTCATGCACTGTCGATGTGTATATCGTAATCTAAGTCACATTGTGTTGAAAAACGACACATTTTAGAATATATGAGGATTATATTACGCTATAAACGATACATATCAAAGAGAGGAAAACATTTTTCTCCGTTACATTATATTCAGAGAGAGATATAACGTTATACATAAATATACACATATACAATGACGAAGAAAAAAAGGAGACACTTTAACTCTTAGTGGCAAATATAGGTGTGCGTATTGTTCGTTTAAAAAAAAAAAGATAAAGTTCCAAGCAAGTATTAAGAAGGGGAAATTATTAAAAATCGCGGAAATCGCTCTGTTAAGCATCAATCGCAGAGATCACTCTCTGTCGAGTAATAATATCGCGGAAATCGCTCTATTAACTGTACTAATGAAATCGTAATATTAAATATACGATATATATTGTCTGTGGCTATTGTTATGTGAAACATTACTCTATGGACAAATTCATTATAATATTAATCGTTACTGTCGTCAGAAAAAAATATAATGTTAAATAATAATCGTTTCAGAATGATCGCACGATGTTTTAAGCGTAATCGTGGAAGGCGCAATATTAAGAGCTTTTTGAAATCACATTCGCGTGTAACAACACAACAACAACAGCAAACAGAGAACGACAAAAATGCCCTAATCTCAATATCCGTAGAATAATCTATCGTTATCTTATTGAAAAGCAAAACCTCTTAGCGAACCGTTGCTTTCCATCATGCCACCGGTGCTATAATCGCCGAGAGAGTCCCCTGAAGACACATTATCAATCTTCTATCTCCCGATATTCCCCGAAACGTTAATCTACCTGCGTAAGAAAAAAACTCAAAACATATCATACGAAATGCCTAATGCATTTAAGAAAATTCTATAAAATATAAATGTTAATTACAAGATATATTATCCTATTGAAAAATTATATTTTTATCTTCGATCCGTATGTATACTTAAGCTCTATATATTTACACAATATATTTTCTCGAGAGGCGTACATATACACATATAAAATAATATACATATATATTATATATACACACGCACATTTACATCCGCCCTGCTGTATCATACGTATGTAATGTTCTGAAAGATGAATTGAGATTTTTTATTCATAATTTTAAGAGAGCAGTTGTTTTCTTGTCTTAAATTACTGATGTAGAATTATTTATTAATGCGGATCGATGACCTAGTCATATAAATTTACTATTTTAATCACAATTCATGTATCTTTTCTTATCTTTATACGTTTTATTTAATCTAATGTTAGTCAAATAATTTGGATTTCTTGAAAAATATAAATATTCAATGTAAGATATTTTAGATCTAAAAGAAATTTTGTTATGTAATCTATCCGTGTATGAAATTAATATCACAAACATTTTAAATGAAAATTTGATTATTCAGTAACTACACGTAGAAAGCAATTTTCTTACTAGATGTTGAATAATGAATATACATATATTTATTTATGGCATATGTTGTAAGACATATCTTCTCCTTAGATACAGAATATTATATTATATAATTATCTATGAATATTTTATATATAACGATCTATATATAATTTTATAGATGGAGTATGTATGTATACGTACATATATGTGTACATATTATGCATATACATATATGTATGTGTGTGTATATAAATATGTACGTTTTCTCTAAAGTCTCTGTTTCTGCCTTGATATCTTCTTTCTCTTACTAATTAGTCGGGCTAAGGAATTGGACTAAGGAAGTATTGTGAACTGCACACAAAAAAGATACATATCATAGCTTGTAAGAGTCTTTGCCTTGTAAGGAAGTTCAGGCGCATGTTCACAAAGCACAGATCGCAAAGTGATGGCGAATATATGCACATATACAAGCTGTCGCAGATTTTAAAAGAAATTCGGCCATCTGGCCTTGAGTCGAAAGTACCTCTGCCGAAAGAGTTAATCCCAGCGTAAAACTTTATGTGTTTATCACGTATATGTAAATGTATCGTTCAAAATTACAATACTTAAAAAAAGTTCTAATAGCTAAATGTGAAATACATGATGGTGCATATGAAATAAACTGAATATATTTCTGTCATTCCTTTTGACTATCAAGTATTTTCTCCTCAAAAATATGCGTTCATATATATAATCAATATTTGAGTTTTTGATTATTATTTTATTCACTCTTTGATTAAATACTACAAAGAATTGCAAATTTTCAAGATAAAATTTTCTTTTAGGTTGAGCTCATAAAAATTGACAAATAAATATCTTTAATTGTTCAACATCTTCAAGATAATTTTGATAATCTTAAGATGTACATGTAATTGCCTAAATGTATAACATTATGTAAAATATTAAACAAAATATTATATTATAAAATGACATTTAATAATTTTATATTTTTAATGTAATATTGTATTTTATACATATTTTAGATATTTTATTAAAATGTTTCAAGCATTTCAAAATAATATATAATGCATATTTTATATGTATGGTATATATTATATTAAAGATGTTTTGTAAAATGATTTCTGTTGCCGGGGAAATAATTCAAATTTTATTCGCACATAGATGACATTAAAGAAAATTTCCTTGCATCCAAACATCCTTCAATAAACTGTAAATAGGGCTGATCAGTTAGATGCTTTCTATTTACACAAATCTACACGAATATCACATTCTATCTTTGTTACTCTGCGTCTGAATGTCAAGAAAGATTGAATAATATATGTTTGTGTCGATTTGTATTATTCAATATTTTCTTCTCATTTCTAATAATATAAATTAACTTTAATCTTAATTTAACTTACCACTTATCTTTTTTTAATTGTAAGAATTATAAGATGGATAGAAATTAAAGTAAATTTTATATTTGTAAAACCGGGCTTAAAAATTAGAAACGAAAAAAATATATTAAACGAAAAAATAATTTAAACCGAGATTATATATAGTTAATTTATTATATTGGCAAAAATGAACAATAAATATAAGAAGCACTAATAGTACTTCATAAGTATCGGCACGATTTTAATTGTTTCGACAATGATGCGCTATCTTGCGGATATCGAAACAAGCTCGACTGCACATTGCTATTATACTTATATGGTATACATCATGAATACAAAAAAGATAATTTTGGCGGAGCAAAATTAGGACGTTACCGCATACATACTAATTGTATTATATAATTTTCAAGAAAGAATGAACAAATAATAATTCACTCACGCAATACGATTCCTTTTCCATTGTCTTCCCAGGCCATCTTCCATTCCATCTCTTACGTGACAATGGCTCTTTCGTGGCGTTCACACGATATTCGGTAAAACAGCGGTGAATTACGATCACTCGTAGTGTGTGTGTGACTCGTAGTAATCAAAAATTCTACGAAATGAGGAAATTACAAGGTTAATGTAAAAAAGTTTTCTTACTATTATAATTAAATGAATTGTAATCCGTTCCGTATTCGCCGCGATTTCACTAAAATGGTGAAGCGGCGTCGTTTTTCGTGAATGGCTAACTTTATGCATTAAAATTAACGCGAAGTATATACTGCTTTTGATTTTCGACAGAAAGAAATTAGTATACTAATACTATCAAAATCTCTACATTACATGATATTTAAAATATTATAAATATAAAAATAAATATAAAGTTAACTATTCTTCGTGCCGCATTAAATATTGTAATTTACCCATTTACCATGTGTGATGCAATTACAATACACATTTATAAAACTTCAAGAACTTAAAAGCGATTAGTTCTTCAAATACTTCTCTCGCGTCAAGTATTAATAATTTAAAAATATTTGTTAGTTACCTTCATATTCCTGAATAATTCCAATAAATCTTTCGAGCTGTTTCCTGTTTCTCATCATTGTATTCTATCTGCAATGAGTGGGATATACTTCTAGGCTCTAGAGATCAGCACATCTGGAGATTGGAAAATATAGGATATATTTAATAAAGGAAAAGAGATCATTACTGATCGAAGCCAGAGCTGCGAACTATTCCAACATTATATGTATAACAGAATAGTAATACACCCGTCGCCCGATCGCGAAAGCGCGAGATCGCGAATTCCGCGTATTTATATACGCCGTCAAGCCACTATCCCCACCATTCACAGTCAGCCAATAAGCGCGGTATGCTGTATCCAAACGCTCATTGGTGCATTCCAGCTTACGGGTAAAGGTATATAAACGCTACGCGGAAAAATTTGCAATCTTTTTCGGAAGTTGGAACTGGTTGGAACTGTGCATTTTTTTGGGGGTTAGAGAAACCTGTATGTGTATTTAGCACATAATTTATGTTATGTAGTTATGGACTATTAACTGTAGAATTTCAAACATAAAAGCGTATACATATTTATCGTTAAATAAAGCGCCGTTCTGTGAATACCAGAAATTAATAAATTATATGTTCTTTCTAAAAATAAAAATGATTTGGAATAAAGAAACAGATATATCAGACAGATTATATGAAAAAAAATCGTACTTTAGGCGATTAGTTTTAAAAAATGCAAATTAAATTTATAAATTAACAATGAAAAATTAAACGCTTGCAAGTTTACTGAAATTTGCCAATCTATAGTCGTTATTTATAATAAATGATAAATTAATAAAGTAATTTACAAATTTCTATTTCAATTAGAATTTTTTGAGAGAAAGAAACATAATATAAATTATAAATTGTGAATCACTTAAACATTGCGCAAATATAGAGAGAAATATACTTATTATTTAAAATTCTATAACAGTTTTTCAAATCAAAATATTATATAGCAGTACACTCTATTACTTATGAATTATTTATTGTTAGATATATTATAATAATAATCATTTAATTGTGTATAAAGTATAAGATGAGTTAAATGGAAAATTATATATTAGATTTTTTGTATTATGTGACGTTAGAAGACGGCCTCAATTATATTAGCATTTATTAAACTTGTAAAAAATGAATGTATATAATATTTAATTATTATATTATATAATACATTTAACATTTAACGATCAATAAACTTAATAAAGTTATATTACTTTTAATATCTTGATTTGAAGAATTGTGTGTTATAGAATTCTAAGTAATATATATATATATATATATATATTTATATTTTCAAAATGTTTAATTTTGTTTATATTTTACAATTTATAATTTATATTATACATTAAAAAAAAAAACAATTTAGTATGTGATTTATAGCATTGCGATTTAGCCGAACTCGCACTACATTATTTCCGATACCATATGATTTTATTGCTAGACGCCAATACATAACTATATATAGTTTCTAAATAAAAAATAGCTGTATTAGCGCTAATATATGGAACGATTTTGAAGCATCGAGATGGCCTTTCAAGTTTCTCTTGGAATAGACTTATCTATATTGTTTTGGGTGCGATCCATTTGATGTTACAAATGCTTCGAAGCTTCTGATTGACCAATCATAAAATGCATCAAAGTCTATAGTATCGGGTCTAAACCGTAATCTAACGCACTCCTGATGAAATTTTTATAAAAATTTGGGAGACACTCCAGAAATACTAATTCAAATTAATTTATGCAAACATCAGCTGAAAACTTTAATTATTTTAAAATGATCTAATAATTTTTTATCCTCTTTTTTTTCGTTCCAACTGAAGTAGCGCAAAGCGCAATCCATATTTCCAATATGCATGCGCAACATGTATATCTACAGTACATGGCATTTTTAGCTTTTTCCGTACTTTTCAGCTCTTTTTAGGTTATATGTCGTGCGATTATACTACGAATGTTTCAAGTAATTCGCGCAATTTTATGAATATCGGACATAAATGAACTTGAGAGATTTGCAAATTAAATGTAGCTTTTTCTGATATGTAACAATCGCATTCACATGTAAATATCAGATTTTTATATATATATTAGGGCATATTAGGGTACCGTAATTCGGAATGATGACGCTACGTCTGTTCGACAACGAGGTGAGAAATTGAGAATAATGAAATATCTATGAAAGTTATTATGAAACACACCATCACGGTTGTCTCTTTAGATAGATATTATTTAAGTTTAATCTTTTCGTGAGTTTTGCTTCTCGCGTTTCTTGCTTTTTACCACTTTTTATCAATTGTCTTTTTTGTTTCTTACCTTAGCTGTTGTCCCAAAGTAGAAAAAGTTTCAGAAAATTTATCAATAAAATAGATGGTCGTAAAGAACAAAAAAAAACAAGATTTTGTACATTACTTTGTAAATTTTAGACTTTAACGATTTTCATATTGTCTGTCTTTCAGGATTATTCCACACTGGATGCTATACCAAATGTATGCACCGAGAATAGTGAAATCGAGAGTTATGATTACCTGAGAGAATGCATCAGCAATCTTGAGAATAAGAACTCTGAGGTCGGTCTAACAGCTAATTCTACAGGTGCCACAGACATAAGTTTACAAGGAGACGGTTTAGATGATGTTAATTTGAATAGTATTGATTTTATGAAAATTGAAAGTTTATTCTTACAAAATACAGAGGAACCTACGAATTGTATAAAGAATGAGGAGGAAAGAACAAAACAGGACAATTCTACAAATGTTGATATTCCACACTCGATTCAACATTTCAATACAATGAGTCTAAATTTCTCAAATTTTTCAAATAGTAAAGATTCAGATAATATAGCAACTATTCATAATACTGAATCCTATACATTTGACAAAGATCAATGTTTAGAAAGCAAGAACATAGATAACTATAATTGCTCTGTCAAATTTTATATAGAGAATAATACAACTACAGATTCTAATATCAATAAAGATGTCAGCAATATAAATCAAAGTATTATATGCGATTTAAAACATGAACAAAAAATTAATAATCTAGAGTTATCAGACAGAGATGAACAGTTTCAAAAGTGTGAGCAATGCCTAATGACATTCAGATATAAAAGACACTTGGATCGTCATTTGGAAGGTCATCAGAAAAATAACTGCCCTCATTGTAATGAAAAATTTGCTAGACGAAAGCATTTAGATGTCCATTTATTTCGTGCGCATGGAGAAAGGGTGATCAGGCATCCTCATTTGTGCGACGTATGTCCGAAAAGTTTTCCCAAACGCATCCTTTTGAACCGTCATAGAGCAAAGCATACCTATCAAAATGGCAAGGTATGTTCGGATTGTGGAGATATGATAAACATGGATGCAGATGAAAAAGAGCATAAGGAAAATCACTGTAAGAAAAGGCAATTCAAGTGCCAACAATGTTTGCAAACATTTAGTATCAAGCAGACATATATAGCTCACATTCAGAATCATGATAACTATAAGTGTCCACACTGTGATATTACTTTTGCATCGAAGAAGAAAGCACATGAACATTTTAAAGCAGTTCATATCCCAAAATTAAGCGAGCAAGAATCGGCAAATGGTAATAAATATTAAAATTGTATTAATAGATAGTTTTTTTGTACTTGTCTAATAATGTTATTTTACAGGTCCATATTTTTGCGCTGATTGCAGACACTCCTTTGCAAAAAAAGACGACTATTTTCGACATTTGGAGTCTGCATTACATCTTAATAAAGTTAACAAAGATATACCTATAAGAGCTATATTCTCCTGCGCAATCTGTTCTAAAAAATTAATTACACAAAGAGCTCTGGATCAACATGTCAGACGTATTCACAAAGGCGCAAAGCGATTTGTTTGTAATATATATGGGTGTACATTTCAGTGTGCCAGAAGGACAGATCTAGATAGGCACAAACAACTACATGTAGAAGAGCGAAATGTTGTATGTGAGCATTGTGGCAAAACGTTTACCAGTGTCAGCATCCTCAAGGATCATGTACTTTATATTCATAGTAAAGAGCGACAATTCATCTGTGAAGAATGTGGCAAAGCATTTAAGAGAAACAGCTTATTGAATAGACATAAATTGTCGCACGAGCAACATCGACCGTTTGCCTGTATGCAATGTAACACTGCGTTCAAACGCTCGCACCATCTCACTCGTCACATGGAAAGCTGTCATAGAATCACATTGGAAAAAAAGAAAAAGGTAACAAAGAATCCTTGTGATAGTCTCAACTTAAGATATATATTTTATATATATATATATATAAATATTCATAATTACAATTTCAAGGTGGTAAAACTCATGAAAACAAAGGATGGTCATCTTGTACCAGTGCCAGATAAACCAAACAGATCAGAAACTAATAAAGTAAAAGCCGAAAAAGGATGTGAATCAATTGCAAATAATAAAGAGAAAGATTGTCCTGCTACAAATGTAAAGAAAGAGGCTGCAAATGCTAATTCGCAACTGGAAATACAACCATCATTAAATCCTGAAGAAAACTCTGAATGTCCGAACTTATCATTAGAATCTACAAATTTATCTATTATTGAGTCTATTCCACAAGTTTTCTCTTTAGTAGATGTAAACACGGGACAAGTGCTTACTGTAGAAATTACCAATAATTCGGAATTGTTACCTACTAATGAACTTGTTAATCAACTTGGAACAAATTGCAATGAAATATTAAATTTGCCCGATTATCCAGATACAGAATTTCAAAATAGTCTTCTAAATATCGATCAAATGTGTTATGACAATACAAATTATTCAGAAATGTCATTGGAAAATATTGAAGGTTCGTTTCCACTTGTAAGTAATAATAGTAAGATGGAAACGATAGAAAGCTATTTAACTCACGAATTTCCAGCATTCCTTAATATTTGAAGATTCATATTATGGAAGATTGTATGTGCATGTATATTGTTTGTCTGGTAATATAATGGTTGTTCACATTTAAAATGTCATTATGTGTTATCGTATTTTATTAAAATATGAGATTATTTATTTTTTGTTAACAACAGAGACTATGTTATTAAATTTTATAAAATTTATTTTTTTATACTACAAGATGTAATTTAACATTTTAATTTTGTTAAATAAATAAATACATATTCTTTTAAAGTACAAAAATTTTATTACCTCGTACAATAGCAAATATTTTAACAAATATTTTCACACAGAGCTATATTATGTATTATATAAAGTATTATTTTATTAAAATGTATAAATGTAAAATTTTATCGAACTATTAGAATATACATTAAATTAATATAGGTAATTATACAAAAAATATTATATTATATATATATATATATATATATATGCATATTAATCTAAAATTAAATTTTTAACATTTTTTTACAAGTCTAAATTTTACATATAGCTGAATCAAAGTTCTGATCAATTAAGCGCTAGTTAAAAAGTTATTATTTTTTCCTTTTACATTATTCTTATCTATTATTTTACATTTTCTACTGGACGATGCAAATATAAAATAAAAATCAGTGAAACTTGTTAACATACATACATTTTCATTTTGCATATATATAATTTTAAAATACATGGAAAAACTAAGAGAAATCGAAAACTTATTCACTCTCCATGTACAAAATTAAAGGATTTAACAATCATACATTCTTTAATAGAGCATATTAAAATATAAAGAAAACTGCAAACTTTCATAATTTTTAATAATCTATCATTAAGTCGTAACACACACACGTACGCACACGTGCGCACACCACACACACACACACACACACACACACACACACACATATATATGTTTTAACCACCACAGTCATATAATTATAATTTGTAACATAAATATAAACTAGTAATAAGTGTAAACTATCATAAACATCTCATATTTGCGACGTAAATATAAATAATTTTTTTTATAAATTCTGTGTATTTGTATGTGTATAAACATATGCATTTAATATATATACATATATACATACATATATATAAAACATATAACTAGAAGAGAACCATGTTTCATGCATTTACTATTCATCAAACATGTTTGTATCATTAGAAATATATAACTTGATATGTAATAAAAAAAACTTTAAAAATATTTAATTATATATTTCTGTTAATTTTAAAACACAAAGAATACAACTTGTTCTGCACCTCATTAACTCTGGCTTGTCTTTATCTATTTCCTTTTTTCTTCATGAAACAAATCTGTGTACAAGTATACCGATGATAGCAGCAGATGCTCCAATCGCAGTCCATAGAATTCCTTTAGCAATTTTACTTCTTTCTTCTCCTTTTACATTCTTTGATGGCTTATCAGCCTCTTTATTTATACCTAACATTTTAGCATACAGATACTTTTCTTTCTCAGTTTCTTTTGAAATTTTTTCTTTTAAAGTTATTAATTCTGTCTGTAACGATTTCATATCTGGATCTATCTTTTGTACTTCAAGGAAAGCTATATAAGCCTTTGCATATTCCCCTTTGGCTTTCAATATTCTTCCTGTAAACAACATACATACATACATACATACATACATACATACATACATACATATATATATATATATATATATATATATAAAGATATACTTGTGTAAAATATAATTCAAGAAAAGTCAGCATATTAAAAAAGACAAAAACTCAAAAAAAATTTCAAACAAAATCTTTTTATTACCTTTTCTAAATAGAGCTTTCGTATTTTTTGGTTGATACTTCAGAACTCTGTCTACATTTTCTAAAGCTGTGTTGTAGGCTCCCGTCTCAATTAATGCAGCCGCTAAATTGTTATACACCTTTATGCAATCTTCCAACAGTTCCTGCAGTTGACTATCAGTAATCGGCCCTGTTTCTTCATTTTCTTTATTCCAATTTGTATTGTCTATTTGTAGATATGACAACGCAGTCCGATAACATTGTATCGAAAAAGTGAGCTCCTTGCGAATAAACCACCAATTTCCACGTTGGCGTTTCTTGTTACTTTAAAAAATAATGTACATGATAAAAAGAAATTAAAAAGATAAATGATATAAAGTTTTAATTTTCATACATATGTCATAAATAAAATGATTACCCTAGTTCTCTCCTTTCTTTGACACTTAAACTTTCTATATCAGAACCATCCTCTATTGCTTTCAATTCAACTATGTATGTAATAGTAGCATTTGGTGGCACAGCTCCTTCTCCACGTGTGCCATAAGCAAATCTAGGATCGATTTTTATTTCAGCAATTTCATCCAATTCCATCAATGAAATCGTTAGATCTAATCCCTATAGTTTGATAACATTATAAACAAGATACTGACAGTTATAATATAAATAACAACATATTATAATAACAGTTATAAAATACCTGTATTACATCAAAGTCTCCTAATTGTATGGAAAAATCATCATAATCTTCTACTACTGTGCCGTCATCAAGCATACCAGTAAATTTTATTGTACATATATCCTGTCGTATTGGTTTTACATCTTTTTTGCCTTTCTTTATAACTTTCTTCATCAACTGACCATTGCCAATTATATCTAACCATTCTTCTTTAGGTTGATCCTTCTTTGATTGATCATCATTTGATTGATCTTCCTTAGGTTGATTTTCTTCGAGTTGATCTTGCTTAGGTTGATCCATTTCAGATTGATCTTCCTCAGGTTGATGTATCTTCGATTGATCTTCCTTAAATTGATCCATCTTAGGTTGAGCTACTTTAGGTTGATCTTCTAAAGAAGAGGTTTTAAGGTGTAATACCTCACTATTGTTGTCACAATCAGATATGTCAATAGCGTTAATAGAAACATTCTTTTCTTCTGATGACATACTTTCATTCATCTAAAGCAAACAAAAATTACTTCAATTATACTCAATAAAATAAACCTATTTTCAATAAGTTTTTCAATAAGTATTATGGATTTTCTCAATTTTTCCACAAAAGCTGATAACATAGTTCTATAATCATGTAATATAAAGTTATCTAAAAGTTATCTAACATATAATTTATTGTTTAACCATGAAAATTTCGCGTAATAATATTTTACAAAACTTTAGAACTTTCTCAAAATCTTAAACGCTGGATACTTATTTCTAAAAATTTACTTTAAATTAAAAATAAATTCTACATAAAGAATTTTGTTCTTAAGCGCATCTTGCTAAACATTGTGAATGATAATAATGAGAATGATTAAGCACAATGTGTGATACGAAAAATTGTTTCGTGATAAAACCGTTAAAGAAACCGGTTTGATTACAGTTTCAACAAGTTTCATTTGAACAATAAAACACAAATTTTACTGAATTCTTCGTTCACTTTTTATTTACCTCAGTAGTGTAAAGTGTAATGGTCATTATTCAGAAAAAACAGGCTAGGGAAGAAACAACCTCTCAGCCGTATAAAGTTCTGTTCACTGCAGTTCACTGTATGGTCTGTTGGTTGGAAGATGCCACGACACACAATGCGACAAGTCTCATAAGCTCGCACGTGCGTCCGCTTGAAAGCAAATTATAGGAAACTGATTGAAACTGATTACTGAATCAATAGTTTAATCATTATACAAAACTTGAAGGTTCTCGAACATTCGTAAAGAAAATTGTTACGTAGTCATGTTCAAATTCACAAAAAACTTGTTAAAATATGCATGTAACGAATATTACTAATCAGCCAGTCAGGTCGAAGGATAAAGATATAAATACTATGTTTTGCGTTTAATACTATTAATTACGATTTATTACAACATTTATATAAACATAAACGTTATAAATATTGTTACAAACATAATGTTGTAAATAACGATGTAAATATTTTTATAAAGAGCTTTATTTGTGCGAGGGATCGAAAAAATTTTGTGTTGTGTTTATAGAAAATTGTAGCATTAGCTAGTTTAACGTAATTGAAGTGGATTTGTACGAAATGGAAAATATGACGTATATTTTTTTTATTAGCTCGATTTTTACATTTTTATATATGCACAAATTGTATGTGAATAATAAAGAATTTATAAATTATAATAGGTCTGTTCTTTTTAGCTAAAGTTCTTACATGGTTCATCTTTCTTCTTTTGCTTTTTGTCTCCGTTGGAGAGAAAGGAGAAAAGATAAATTGTGCAAGAAGTTTAGCTAAAAGAACAGATCTACTGATTTATACGTGCGATGTCCCAATAGGAACTCGTGGTTTCTAGGAATTTCCCTAGTAGATTGTTCTTCTCATTGGTTATTGTACGTTGGATATACAAAGAAATTCAGATTATATTATTTTATCTTTGTTGTTCACAAATTGTAAAATAAAGATAAATAATGATACCTGAGTGTATCCAGATCTGGATAAAGTTTCTGAATGCACAGTAGGTAATTCAATTATAATGACTTGACGTTTAATAGAAAAAGCAGCTTTGCAATATTGTGTTGTAAAATTTTTTAATATAATTGATTTACACATTTAATAGATTCAGTGAGGAATTAGGAGAAATTATAAGGGCAAGAACCAATTATATTAAAGAATCTTACGACAGTTCTAAAGCTGCTTCTTCTACTAAACGCAGTCATGGTCAATGAAGTATCGCGGTTACGTTTGGAAAGTGCTATGTCATCAGCGCTGCGCATCGTTTTAATTATTTTTGTCTTATTTATTTCATTATAAGGCACTAAACAAGGATAGAATGATGTAAATTTTATAATTGGATACATTATATATACTTAATGACAAAAAAATCGAGATAATTTGTTTAGGAAAGAGAATACTTCAGCTAGAATTTGGAAACGATTAAGTGTGACTGATATTTTAATTTCAATTTTGAAACAAATAATTATGTGTTACTTACTTTCGTCGGCGAACTTGAGTAACAGACATTGATTATTTTTATCAATCGAGATTATAAATATTTGAAAAAAATACCTGGTTAGCAAATTACGTAATTAAATTTTCAATGTCGATTGATCTGAAAAATACAGGGTGAAAGATCTATCTAAACATCGTGATGAAAAAAGCTCTATCTTCAATAAGTTGATATTTAAATATATGAATATATCGTATTTTAAATATAACGACGTAAGCTATTTACGAGTAATGTACATACTTCGTGACACCTGTGAACTTTCGCGCGAGTGTTCGATCTCGTAATACTTATTCATGTTGCTTCGCATTTGTCAGGGACGTGATACGATCTATCAAAGCCCATGTTTTTCGCATCTGAATTGCTTTAAAAGAACTTAAATTTATAATCGTTTTCTCTGTTACCAAAAATTGATCTATTTTAAGTATCCCGAGTAAAAGTAAAATTTAACAAAGTTTTAAAGAGACTCTTAGTATGCATAATAATTTCTGATTTTTACATGAAAAAAATTGTTTATTTAACCTTAATATGGCGACCAACGCTGAAGATAAAAATGGATAAAGAAATCTGTAATTTCATACTTTTTCCAGCTTTGGACACAATATACACCAGGCACAGGTATATTAGCTCGGATATTTTAATCGTGGAGAAGGAATTTTTATTCTGTGATACTATTACGAAGAAATTAGACAGGAACGAAAACGTTAAAAACGCTAGTTTTAAACGACTCCAGCATCACCTTAACATCTGTTCCTAATATTTCTCCTATTGTGCGTAGCCTAACGCATCTCTGTTATCTTCTATAAAGCCTTGTGTCTACGATACTAGAAATCGGTCCGAGATCTCGAATAAAGGAAAAATTGATCAATTACATTGGTCATGTGACCAAATTGTTCAAATTCTTTCTTCATCCGAATCTCGGGACTCGGACCGATTTCTAGCATCGTGGACACGAGGCTTAAGTATGAATGAAATGCGCAGACGCATGGAAACTGGAAAGCACTCTTGACTCAGACTGTACCGACAAGGACGAAGTAACCTAAACTGACTCTTTCTATTCAGACGGATGGCCTCAGAGCGTTCCAGTGACCAATACTTCCGGTAGTGGTCCACTCTGACAGACTGTGACAAGACCACCGCAGGATCAGATCAGACAGACGGTTGCGGTCCCTTCATTGTCCGTATCATGAGGCTGCTGTTGTTCCTAGGCTTGGTAGCCGTTGTCTCCTGCGCGAGCAATGGGCCGAAAGTCACTGATAAGGTATAACATGCAAATCCACGAAGTACACAAATATGATCTGCAAAATATTAATTGTGAATACGTGGCACTTCACCGGCGTGAGATATTTCTGTTGCACGTATGGAAAGATCCATGCGTCACTTATGAACGAACAATGCCTTTGTTCGGCAGCGTATATTCACCAAATTCTTTCATAAAGAACTATTTTCTTAACATTAATGTATAATTCATCAAATTTTTAGGTATGGTTTAATATCAAGATCGGCAATGAGGATGCAGGCAGAATAGAAATTGGTCTATTCGGTAAAACCGTTCCGAAAACGGTCAAGAATTTTGTGGAGCTTGCCAAGCTGCCAGAAGGTGAAGGGTACAAAGGCAGCAAATTCCACAGAGTGATCAAAGACTTCATGATCCAAGGAGGAGATTTCACAAAGGGAGATGGCACTGGAGGTCTTTATTTTTAATTGTTTAGGGCAGATGCATTGTCTAAAAATTAGCTTACGAGTTAATGCTCTCACTTTTTCATTGTCTTATTGAACCAGATAAAAAATAAAGAGAATTAATATAAAGCTCTGTCTAGTAACTGGTTGTTTTAGCATTTATTTTCTTTTGTTTTCCATTTATCTTGTTCAATGAGACAAGATGAGGTGATAGCAAGTGCTTTTTATTTGATAACATAAGTATGTACATAAGTAACATATTCCATCTTTGTTATTCAACATTAAGAAGGATAAGAAACAATGCTTATATTAATTAATGTCCGTTTATCAATGTTGCTTAATTTTAATTTTGGTTAACTATAATTCTAAGAATTAGAAAAAAAATGAATAAGTTGAACTGAAATTAAAGTTTATATTGATAGAGACGGATATAAACAGAAATCCAATGGTTAACTCGTGAGCTGAATTTTGGACAAGCCTAGTTAACACAGATGCATTTGATTCTGATTGCTGATCTGTAATCTGCCTGTTAGGTCGTAGCATTTATGGAGATCGCTTTGCGGATGAAAACTTTAAGTTGAAGCACTATGGTGCCGGATGGTTGTCCATGGCCAACGCTGGCAAAGATACCAATGGGTCTCAATTCTTTATCACTGTTAAGCAAACTCCTTGGCTCGATGGTAGACATGTCGTCTTTGGCAAGATTATCAAAGGAATGGTGCGAACACTGATTATTATTACAATAACTTACTGAGAGACACTTACTATATGTTATTAATAGTACAAAGCCTCTTTTCAGTAATTTTTGTTTATTTCTCCTCTTTTCACTTTGAAGATAAAAAGAGAAAAGATGCAAAAACTTCAACCATATAAAGGAGTAGATTTATAATTATATTATTCTGTTGCAGAATATAGTACGCAAGATTGAGCAAACGAGCACCGACTCACGAGATAAGCCACAAAAGGACGTGGTTATCACCGATTGTGGCGCGGAGACTATAACAGACCCATTTAGTGTATCTAAGGATGACGCTACCGAGTAAATCTCAGCATTCGCCAACAGCCTCATTATTGTTTATTTCTTATACCAAACGATCTCTTGGGAACTGCATGGTTTTTGACAGCCTTGTTGGTTTTTCTAAACGGATGAATGACACTAATGATAATCTCTATGTTATGGTAACTGTTTAACGACATTCTAGAAGAAAGACTCAGCAGCGACATCAACAAAACAGCGTTTTGTATAAGGTCATAAAGTGTTAAAGTAACTATTAAAAAGTAATAGAATGATTGTTTCTACTTTAATTGTTAAAAACAATGTATAACTCGCATTGCACGATACCTACATTTTGTACGCAAGATTTTCTACATTCACAAATAAATATAAGTTGTTTAAAGTATCGTCGTATGTGACTTCATTTCTCTTACATAAGAAGACTGAATCATATGCTTTATCGAATTGATTGATAAGATAAATGGCTAGGTGTGTCCCACTTTCTAATCATATTTTTAAAAAACAATTGTATAACATATATATATATATATATATATATATATAAACTGCAAAATTAATATTTTTAAAAAATTATTAATACAATAAATATAAATAGAAATGAGCATACAGCTACAACGCAAGATGTCTTTCGCAGTCATAAAAAAAGAGACAAAGGTACTTTTCTATTTATTTCCATTTCTATTTATGTTTATTTATCATTGAGCCACTTTCTCACTTTGTTTAACGGTTTATTAATACAATATATCAAAGATACATATATTACAAAAATATCAAAATTTTTAAATCGATCAATTCTTTAAAAAATCATGGATATATTTATACATTTTTAAAAATATTCTAAGACATATATTTATAAGATATTTTTTAAATAAAAGATATTCCAAATGGTGGTTCAATGACCGGTCCATGCAATTTGCAATATTGGCATACAAAACTCCCTGCAAGTTTGTAGCAATTGGCATTATTGGCAATTCTGAATTGTTGTTTGTCGATAAAGAACGTGGCTGCTAAGGTTTCTTTTCTAAACTTCATGCTGAATGAATCACGAAAAATCAGTGAAAAGTCAGTGAAAAATGTTATCAAGACGACAATTATGTCTTACTTTCGCGCATAAATGGATTCGAAAAAGAAACAACAATGCTTTACGGCGTTTTCTCTCAATCAAAAATCAAAAAGATGTAAAAGTGCGGTGAGCGATTAGGTTAGGTTATAATAATGTTTATGAATGTAAACAATTATTGTTATATCGCTTCCGAGGCGTATCGCAATTGCATATTTACTTAATTAAATATTCATGATATTTTAGGGAGTTATAATTAAGTCATTAATGGTATTGTCTCTTGTTGACAATTAGGGAGAGGTGGAAGTCCACCGTGGGTTTGGAGGTCCATGCTCAGATTGCCACGGAATCAAAATTGTTTTCCAATGCGTCTACCAATTTTGCTAGCCCGGTTAATTCGTGTGTTTCACTCTTCGACTGCGCCACACCGGGAACATTACCTGTGAGTTATTAATAATCAGTTATAATAAATTAAAGACATCTGCTGAATGTAAACAGTAACATATTACATCAATATTGTAATTTCCTGTTTGATAATGTAACTGTTATGTACAACATGTGTTATATTGTTGAATGGAAAATGATAATATTGATGTAATATTGTTATGTTTATAATAAATAATACTCTTGGAAGGCAGTCTTCTTCTAGAAGTCTATTAATGACACACAGACAAAGTCTATTGTGTCTTCTGTTAATTTATGTTAAACAGACATACTCTTTTTTGGGCAGATAAAAATAAAAACTTTGCAAACTGTTATATAATAAATTATTGTCGTAGATAAATATATATTGTAGGTACTGAACAGAAAATGTGTGGAATCAGCAGTGATGACTGCCTTGGCGCTATCCTGCCGATTGAATGAGACTTCTTTGTTTGAAAGAAAACATTACTTCTACGCAGACTTGCCTGTGAGTGATAAGGCTATCACGAAATAGATACTTTTCATTATTGTCTGTATTAGTTATAAATTATTTAGGCAGGGTTTCAAATCACTCAACAAGGACAACCTATTGCTGTTAATGGTGAAATTAAGTTTCATGTTTTTACTCCAAGACTGCACAAGTCTCCATATTCGAAATCTTCCAAAATTAAGCAGATCCAATTAGAGCAGGATAGTGGCAAAAGTTTACATGATGAAAATGCAACAAGGTATTGAGCTGATTGCTTAGTTCTATTCAAAAGTTAGTAAGAATTAAGAGTTTTAATTAAATTTTTTTGCTTGTATTTTCTATATTTTAGAAGTCTGATTGATCTTAATCGAGCCGGAATACCTTTGATGGAATTTGTGTTTGAGCCAGACTTGGTCGATGGTGAAGAAGCGGCCGCGCTTGTGAAGGAGCTTGCATTTACATTGCAGTTACTGGGTGTCTGTAGCGGCAAAATGGAAGGTTGCAGAAATTTACTTTCAAGTTATTGTAGAAAATACAATAACTTGATATATTGTCTTTTATTATCTTTATAAATTATAGAAGGAGCACTTCGCGTGGATGCCAATGTTTCTGTAAGCAACAGAGATAGCTTAGGTGTTCGAACAGAAATAAAGAATATTGGAAGCGTGCGTGCTGTCGCTGCAGCTATTCAATATGAAATAAATAGGCATATTTCTATTCTTGAGGTCGGTAACAAGATGTTTAATGAGACTCGCGCTTGGGACGCGATAAACAAGAAAACTGTTCCTATGCGTGAAAAAGAAGACAAAGAAGTAATATTTCGATTTTATGTTGCTGTTCTTGTATTATGAATTATTAAATTCACTATAAACACTTTCAGGATTACCGATTTATGCCTGAAACAAATTTACCACCTTTACGCATACATCTTAGAGAAGATTTACCGAATAAAAGCAATTTAGTTGATGCTGTAATGCTGAAAAGACAACTGCCTGAGTTGTCGGAGCAAATACGTCAAAGACTAAAAGACAAGATATCTCCTGAAATAATCATTGCTTTAATGGTAAATCCAGCATGATCTATAATGAAACATACAAACATTTTTCTTAATATTATATATATATTTTTTTAGAGTAACTTTGCATTATTACAATTATTTAACAGAATAATAAGAAATAATGAGAATCGTCAACCACAACTGGTCGCTAAATTTCTCGTTATGGACTTGTTGACTTTTCTTTATAAAAATAAACTAACGATTGAATTTTGGTAAGTTTCTTTTTAAGTAAGATTATCTGAATAAAAAATGCATACTTTGTATATTTTTAGTGTACCACATGAAAATTTTATTGGTCAATTAATTGATTTATTACAAAGTAATTTAATTAATTTAATAACTGCAAAAAAGATTTTGGAGGAATTAATGCTCGATTCAAATAAATTACCAAAGGAGGTAAAAATCTCATTTTTTCACAAAAAAAATATATAGTATTTATAACTTGAATATTTTGTTTTAACATACATTCATATAATTAATTTTATTTATTGCACATAGATCGTTAAAGAGCACAATTGGTTCCTGATATCAGATGAGAAACAATTAGAACAAATATGTTTAGAAATTATAGAGAAAAATCCAGAACTTGTATCAGGATATAAAAGAGGCAAGAAAAAATTGTTTAAACCATTAATGAGAGAAATGGTAAAGGTTACGGAACAACGTGCAAATATGGCTATTGTTGCAAAAATTATGGAACGATTACTGAAATAGTAGTAATAAAACGAAGGAAAGAAGATTATAATAAATCTAGTAATGAATTAGTATTGTGATGATATACTATAAATAAAATATTCGAGTTTCATTAATTTTTTTTGAAAGCAGTTTTATATTAATTACTTACCTTTCATTGTATATAACGCTGCTGATTAAATATATTATGTAAGAATTTTTATCAATATAAATATTTTAAAGAATATATTACATGTATATAAAGGGATTCCACCACAGACTTAAGTTTATAAAATAATAGAAATAGGCCCACACACACATATTAGTTTATGTATTAAATATTTACACAAATATTATTTTCTAATAAACTTCATTACGAAATAACTACATTGAGTCATTTTTTTACAATTGTTTACAATAATATCATTAAAAAACATGCCAACTGTCAATTACACATTCCATTATTCAATATTTATAAATTCGTCTTTATCCAGAACGTATTGGACAATTATTATTGGTGTTGCTATAAGAAAATAATAGGTAACAGCGTTTTATATTGGATAGGTAGTTAAAAATAATAACACAGATTTTCTACATCAACAGTTCGAACTGAAATTACCACAGCTCTAACATACAGTAATTTTAGCACTTTAAAGAGATTAAAAATCCCGATGTGTCTAAAGTATATTTTACATATCTGTGATATTATATATAAGAAAATGTATTATATTACAGAGTAATTAAAAACATTTACTCCCGTATATGCATCAAATTTCTGCTTATACTGCAAAAATGGCAATGATGGAAGGATTTACAAATTGCAGTCTTCAGAGAAAGGCCACTTGAGTAGCAAGGTCATGTTCTTTGACTCCTTTTTTTATCACCGTAATTTAATTAGGAGTAATAGATATAACGCTTATTGCTTCGATAATGCAAACAGATTCGATATATCATGGATTTGCTTGTATGTAGTCAGTGTTTCACAAAAACTTCGCGAGTAAAAATTTTTTTTTCAAATTACTAAAATGCCACATCACCATTGTCTATTTGTCTGTATTTACAATATGTCCTTATAAAGAATCAACATCGATAACGTGATTTGTTAAAAAAGAAAACTGTCCGTAAAGATTAACAGTTCTTTCCTTCTCTTCCTAATAGTCAAATAAAATAAACCTGATTTTTTTTACTATAAAGCATTAAATGATTTTATATAGTTTACCTGATTTTATATAGTGGATTATAAAATTTATCTTTCTGATATTATAAAAAGTAATTCCACAAAGTAAAATTTTTCTAAGTCTTTTACAATCAAGTATTCACAGTCTAAGAATAGGAGTAACATTTCTTTTCGCCTTTGGCACAGCCATGCGATTAATTGATCTCATAATTGGAATAAGTTAAATTACTATAAAGATAAATTCATCGATAGCATGATGCATTTTTGTAAGAATACTAGTGATAATGATGATGCTGCTATAATTAAAGCAATTCATTCAACATTGTTGTAATACAACTTAAAATTTCATTACGAGGTGTAGTTGAGACTACAAGATTTATTTGGACAATTTGCTGATTACTCTGATCAAGGCACCATTTTCATCTTTTAGCCTCTGATTTTCGCATTTTAGTTGGTCCATCACCTAGAAAAAAAATGTCACACTAATTCTTATGCGCTAATTGAGAACACAGCAGAGGAGAATACAAAGAAATAATGCCGTTATAGACGGAATAATTTCAGTGCTCACAAAACAACAGGAGGATAAATAGAAAGAGGCACTCACAAATATTACTGCAACCAAAAGTCATTAAAGTATTCGGGTAATGTATGTATGTACTAGTAGAAATTAATAAATGTTCAGATACTGACATATATAAGAGAACTGAAAAATGATCGCAAATAGCGAAAGCTTCATTTCATCAATTTATGATCATTGTATTATATATAATACCAGAATCATAAACTTTATTTTATTCAAGTTAATCATTGCATTTGTACACAAGTATTCTTTCATAATTATTTGCATTTAATCAATATTGCATTGATCCAAATAAATAACTTAAACAAATTGTTTAGATATAAATCCGATTTTTGAATTAAATTTGCACACATATAAATGTTCTACAATAAAATTCGAAAATTTATTCTCAAACTCATACGCAATCTAAGAGCGAGACTGAATTAGCGAATAATTAAATTCATAATTTAAATAACGCATAATTGTCTTATTGATACAATAATTTGACTTCAAGTTTTGGGGGCATTTCATATGCAAGAAATAATTTTATGTTACAATTGCAACTATCATTTGTCATATTCTTTGTTGAGCACTTTTTGAACACTACAAAATAATATCGTTGATACGAAAGCTTTCTAATGCATACCATGGAATAATGATGAGTATGCAATATTATACATAAAGTTAAAGAGGGATTAATGTCAACTTTGTGGATTGGCCATTTTTTAAAGTCTATAAAGTGCAATAAAGTGCAACAATTTAACATTTAACATGCTTTCTTAGAGAGAAAGAGAGAGACAGAGGTGAAAATCTAAGTTAATGAAGTGTAATATGTATTGAGATTTTAACAGTTGAATATGTTTTGGGAATTTAATAACTTTCACACAGTTATGAATAAGATAAATAAACTGAAAAGAATAATTAACTGCAGAGTCATGGCTTTGTCTTTATGTGAAACACGTGCTAAAATGATTATCGATGCTTGATGATGGCATTCAGTTTACTGATGTTATTCTGCATGTTGGATGATGGTTTTACAAGGAGAAAAGTTTCCTAAAGTTAAAATTGTGGTAGCTATATTCATTCCTATATGCATCTTATAAATGACAGACTGCGTTCTTTCTTATCTCTTGTTAAAAAAATTTGTTTTTCTTTTTTAGTAAATGTATTATTAAATAGTTCATTTATAACATGCATCACACAATCAGCCGGGATAATTTATTATAATTGTCACGTTTGGAGCTTTGTAACAATCTTGAAAAGTTTTATACGTATATATAATGTTGTATATGTAATTATATACGTAAGATAATACTGTCTTGATAATATATTGCAGAAATAAAAGAAATAAATATTAGTATATCACACAAGAAGAGACATGAATGTACAATATTGATTGCAATATTCAGAATAAGACGTATTATAGTAAGCCTGAAGTCTCTTTTTTATAAAAGTAAATTGGCATCTTTAATTAAAAACTGATTAACGATACGCGTTATATATCGGAATGCACTTTGCAAAGCTGATTTGTACGATAAGTATGATGAGTGATATCATTTCTGTTTTAATATTGGCGATCAGAACACAAAATTATAATTAATCATTCGATTAAAAGAGTAATTAATTAATTAATGTTGTACGTGAGATATACGATGTATATCGTAAACGCAGATGCTGTCATTGTGTCCTTTACCTATTTAGTATTGGTGAGTTTGGATACGACGCGGGTAAGTGCCCGATTTTCGGCTTTCAATCTCTCATTTTCAGCTTTGAGCTTTTGCAATTGCTGTAAACAGTTAAACAATTAGCCTACAATCCCGCCACTGTTTTTACGAGTCCCAAAATAGCCAAAAACAAATAACTAATTCGCGTTCTATTAACAGACGAGTAAAACCGCGTGCAATTCCCCGCTAAACTATGCTGGAAATTCTGAGAAGCGGAACTCAGTGGAAATACAATACAAAATGGATTACTGAAAACTGTATCCCGCAAAAAAAAAAAAAGAGAAAATGAGTACCAATTGGAAATAGAGAATAAGAAAGAGAGTAAAGCGTCAATTTGCATAAAATTGCCAGGTAAGGAAAAGCATATAACCGAAGCGATCGGGTCTTCGTACAAAAATAATCATTGCTGTTTTTGCTTGCCGCTAGCAGTCACAGCAACACAATAAAAAAAGAGATGACGGTGTGTAACTAACTAAAAAATCTAAAATTGTAAATATACTGATATGTATATTCGTACACATAAAACCACAGACAATTGTGTCCAGTTTTTATCATCATTAAATTCAATGTATGAAAGCATTTTTTTTCCATTCGCTTTCACAAACATAATAGATTCATAATATAGGAAATAAATGTATGAAATAAAAATTTGCAAACTTACCTTTAATTCTTCTTCCATCTCTGAAAGTTTCCTCTCCATGGCTCGCCTTTCCCTTTTCTCTGCCTCAGAGAGAATTACTTTATTTTGGTTGATTTGCGTTTTTTCCAATAAATGCCTGACTTCCTTTAATTGTTCGTCGGAGCGCTTCAGTTTATCCTTTAACCTTTCATTTTCGACCTGAGATTCCTCGTACAATTTTTTATAATCTAATTCACCGTTTTCGGAACTATTGGATTTTAATCTGATTGGTGTTGATGAGGCTTCTGATGATAGCGAAGATATCGAACCTAATCTAGTGGCTCTTCCAGAACGATCGTTTCCGCTCTAAAAGAGAAAGAATATTAAACATAAATTTTTATTACGATGTTTTTAAAATTTTTATCAATTTAAACAAATTTTATAATCTGTAATATTAATAAAAATTAGATATAAAAATTAGATATAAATTTGGATATGTAGTAATCTAATATTCAGTAATATTAATATTAAATCGATATTTATATAATTTATTTACAAATATGTTTAAATAATAAGAAAAAAATAACAGTTTAATAAAAATCATTATTTTATTTAAAAATATTTCGAAAAATTCTGGAAATTTTATAAGAGATTTTTTACTTCAGATTTAAAATACGAAGATCAAGGAAATTGCTTACAGCATATCCCTCAGAACTAGTTAAACTTTGCAGACTGGAACTTCGCGAACCGATATTAAGACTCGGTTTTACCTTCGATCTATTAAAACTCTCGGTTTTGCGCACATGTGGCCGAGTGTTTACGTTTAGGTTTAAATAGTTATAACTGGGAGATGGACTCAGATTTAAAGGATTGACAGCTGTGTGAGAAGGTAAAGTCACACCACCATATCCCGTTGACGTTCCACCATATGTCGTGAAAAGATTCTGATGATAATTCGGACTGTTCGTAGACTTCGTGAAAGTATTTGTTCGAAATAGGTCGCTACTCTTCTTATTCTTATTCAAAAAATTAGATCCGGAATATAGATTTGGGGTTTTTACGCCCAATAATCCTGCGTTAAATGTTAAATTATTTGGATTTAACGAGAGCAAACCACCGATCCGTGACCTGTTTCCATAAATTGATTGCCCATTTGTTGACGCTTGAGCTCGTAAGCCTGCAGCTGTTGTTGGCTTAGTGTGTGCTCCCTTTCTGTATGAAGACATGGTTTGCGTCACGTGTAAGTGTTATTACGAGACACTATAGCATCGGCAGCTCTTTTCGCGAGATCCGTAATATTCATATAAAGGTTTGAGAGAGGTTTTATTATAGCTTGTGATATTTTAAATATAACTTTTTTCAATTTTTAGAGCAGAGCGTGTATACGCCGCGGATAAGAAATGATAGACTGACTGAGACTGGGCAGGGGAACCCAAGCAGTTCGCTTTAAAGCATTACTACTATGCGCTATTTTTGGAATACACGCGAAGACGCATACAAATATCAAGGTTGTGTGTTTCGGAGAATAAGTGCAACTTGTACCGTAGTTTAAATAATTTTTTCTATACAACGGCTTAAATATAAACGTATTTATACATTAATAATATACAGGGGGGGGGGGG